ACGTAAACCGACTAAACCCAGTACGATGGGGTTTTACATCTTTAACTTTCAGAATTGGGGAGATTAAGATATTGAACTTCCATTTCGAGGGGAAATAAGTGTTTAACTTCCGTTTCATGGACATATAGACCGAGGTCAAAGAACGGGCTCTATCTGGCGTGATAAGCATACTTCTCATGGGGAAATAGACCGTTTTTCCTAGATTTTCAAAAGAAAAACTTGAGACCTACAGTGATTGATAACAAAGAAGTTCAAATATTTTCTCGTGTTTGTTTACTGTGAAGAAATAGTAAATTTTTTTTTGATGTTTTTTAGTTTTAAACTCATACAGTACTTCTTATTAAAGAAAAGGCTATATATAATTGATCAACTATATTATAGTATATTCTACACACAAAAATATAACCAAACCTTTATGTTTATATATACACATTTCTTCAAAAGAGTAACAAAGCTAAAATTGAAAACAAAAAAAAAACCAATTTCCATAAATAAACTCATTATACTATTCAAATTAAACTCTTTTAAGTTTTCAACGGTCAACATTGATCCTGCAAGTAGAAGATGGGCCTGGTTTTATTAAACAGCCCAAGTCCATATATGACATGTGTAAAGTTTCTATTGACTATTATTAAAAAATAACCTTGGGCAACAATCCCCTGTTTCGTGTTGGTCATCGGTCTTCCGTGTTTCTCCCAAACTTGTTATTACACGAACAACACAAGTGACAGAACCCTAGATTCTTCTATTGCCTTCCTTCAAGTTTTTATTTCTCTCCCACCCTCGAAAACGAGTCCGAACAACGTTGAAGAGATTACCATCTTATCGAGATTTAATCGATCAAGCAATCGGCTGCCATGGTGAGTTTCCTCTCCTCGTTTTTCCAATTTTTGATTTTTTTTTCTTGCCGCTTTAATCTCTTGACTGATGCCTCTCTATCATTTGATAAATCGATTGATTTTAGCATCCTTTGGGATCATTTGTTAGATTTATGTTGTTGAATTGTATAAATTCGAGAGGTTGATGGGTTCTTTTTGGATTATTCAGCTGGGTTTTTTTTTTTTTTCGTTTTGAGATATTTTATCAATTTCGGATTTTTTTTGGTTTTACTTGCTGACATATTTTTGAAATCCATCCATATTCGTATTAGATTGTATTCGCAGTGATTACAACATTTTTTGTATTTTTTGGGTTCTTATTTGTTCTTTCTAGATTTGATCAATCAGGCAAAGATGTCTAAATTGTTGAACTATTACAATATTGGTGAATGATCGAATCCGTTCTTTGCATATAGTAGTGGCTAAAGGCCTTGGCTTGATTAACTTTGAGCAGGCTTGACCTTTGGACATGTTTCTTTGGTCTCAAAGTCTCTCTTCATCTTTACTTATCATGTTGCATTACTTTCATTTCTTTCTTTTACAGGCGGGGAGATTACTTGCAAATTTGATTGTGATGGGTTCTGGGATCATTGGTCGTGCCGTCTTTCAAGCCTATCGTCAAGCACTTGCTAGTAAGTTCCACCACTTTTTTCTATATTGTTATCTTTTCGACATCAAGTGATTGCTTTATGAATCCAGTGAGAAGGCAATGCTCTTATAGGGTTGATAGATTGCTTACAAGTTGCATTTCATTGTCATTGTAGATTCTGGTAGCTCCTGTTTATGTTTTTACTACTGTCAGAACGGTTTATATGTTTCTGAATCAGATTGCTCTCTTTTACTCGAGTCTGTTGAATTGGTAATTAAGACAAAGGATCATGTATTTGTTATGAAGGAGACCTATCTTACCTACGAATCTTCTTTTGCAGATGCGTCTAAATCTGGTGTTGCGCAGGAAGCAATGCAAAATGGAGTACGTAAAGCTGGGAAAGCCATCACTGAGCAAGAGGCTAGGCAGATTCTTGGTGTAACCGAGAAGACCTCTTGGGAAGAGATATTGCAGGTAAACATTTCTCTTTAGCAATGATGAATGAATTATTTCCTTGATTAAATTTGGAACTCTGAATCGAATAACTAAAAGGAATGGTTTTATAAATGAATGCAGAAATATGACAAACTGTTTGAGAATAATGCCAAAGCTGGGAGCTTTTACCTTCAATCTAAAGTTCATCGAGCCAAAGAATGTCTAGAAGTTGTGTACAGAAGCCAAGGCAACGGTACACCTAGTTAAGACCTTAATCGTTATTTTTCTTACAGATTCAAAATTCTTGCTCTTAATGTAAAATCAAGACGGTTTCATGGTTCTTTGAGATAATGTGGAACTTATAAAACGGCCATAGTTTTCTTCACCCATTAATTAGTAATAATAACTAAGACAGGTTTGCTCTGGTCAATTGATCATTGTCAAAGAACCTCTTAAACTAGAAAGGATTGTTCTGTGTGTATGCGGTATCCTTCTCTCCTGAGAGGACTCTTTTAAAGGTCTCCTTCCTGTTTTTGATTCAGATTCAAACTGATTATCTGCACTCTGTAATGTATAATATGTAATAAAAAAATACATCATTATTTGAGGGGTTCGAGCTTGAGAAATCTAGATCTCCAAGTGTGACTTGATCATGTTTTTGTTAGATTCGAAGGTATTTGGAAGTTTATTGGTTGATAAAGTTTTAAGTCAAGTTTGGTCTGAAACAGGTTAGGGTCGACGAAGATTCGAATTTATAAAACTTTCAGTCTGCAAAGCAACTTGAGGAGCCTAAGTTACCGATTATTCTTTAGGTTTGATTTTTTTTTGGGTCAATTGATGATAGAATTAGAAACATGACGTCATTGCAAACAACAAATAAATTACGACCCAATTTTGGCAATCCGAATTGAAGAAGCTATGATGAAAACGTGAAGGGAGATGAGTAGAGGCCTACTGAAATTGAAGCGAAGTGGTTCCTTGAGAGAATTGGTAGACGTTGAATGAAATTTTCATTCAATGATCCTCATTTGGTTCACTTCTTCTTAATCTCCTCAGACACTTTTTTTCTTTATTCCACTTTTTAAAAGAAAATATGTGAAACAGAGGCTTAGTTCTATTAATCAGAGAAAAGGCATGAAAATAATCAAAGATTTTAGATGATAAGTTGTCTTTAGCATGAAACTTACTTGAATAATGTGTTTGTTTAAAGTTGGTGAGTCTAGTAGTGGACGGGAGGTGGAGGTGAACTAGAAGAGGCGGAGAGTTGTAGTCATGATGACGTAATGAAGACGCAATTTAGTCTCAGATTATATTAAAAGGTTAAATTTCAAAAAAAAAATATACAGTAAAACTTCTATAAATTAATACTCTATAAATTAATAATTTCTAAATTAATAAATTCTTCCGGTCCCGAGTTGGGACCAGTGTAAAATATGACATAAATCGATAAATTAATAAGATAATAATTTTTTTAAAAATTTCATGTAAATATATGGTCCCAATTATATAATAAATTAATAATTGTATAAACTTATCTATATATATATATATTTAACTTAATATATATATATATGATATAAATTTATATATGTCATATATGAATTATTATGATATATATTTAAAATATTCTAGGTAAAAATTTAATAACATATGACTCTATTATTCGAAAAAAGTTTGTGTTATTTTTTAAACTTAATAATTACTTTTCTACTTGTGATTAGTTTTTAAAAGATATTGTTTATAAAGAAAAAATTTATTTTTAGATAGAAATTTTTTAAAAAATTACAAATAATTATTAATTTATCGATAAATTAATATTTTTCTAAATTAATAAAATTTCATGGTCCCAATTTTATTAATTTATAGAGTTTTTACTGTAACTTGGATAGACTCTTGAGAAATAAAAAAAAAAAGGTTAAATTTTAAAAAATTGGATAGAGAAGACAGACGATAAGAAACTGATATAACTTGATTAGACTCTTGAGAAAAATCTTCCTTTCTTTACCACAGAGATCTCCAAAATCTTAGGACTTGACAACACACAAAAAGAAAATCCAACATTGGAACTAACCTATCCCGCCAAATTATTAGGGCTACCATTACCAAAACCCTAATTTACAACTTTCACTTCACTTTGCCTATAAATCCTCTAAATCCGGTTTCTTCCGAAGCACATTAAAACTCAACAGTTGCGTAATTTCTGGTGACCTCTGCTTCAAACCCCAAGTAAGCTTCTCCTCTTCTCAAGTAGTGTCCCTCGCTTAGAAAAATTCGATAAGAACATTTGCTTTGGTGTGTTGATGTCTTGATTCTTAGTTATTAACATTTATTATTTCTGTTAAGAATCTGAATGGAAACTTAAAGATTGTGTCCTTCGAAACCGGTTTTGAAATTGGTCATGTTGGATTTTTGGAATTTTATGTTTGTTGTATTTCTTACTCTAGCTCATTTACTCTGTTCAGGCAGTAAGTGGTGATTAGCATTCGAAAAAGATGAATCTTGAATTTGATGACTCAAAGCGTATGCATCATGGAGTGACAAAACAAGAAAGGGATAAGATTCTTCGACGTTTTATAAAGTGCGTGGATGGTAAATTGGCTTTGCATAAAAATGTTCCTTTGAACAGATTCTCCATCAAGTGTAAAGACGATGTTGGACCAGCTCCTGTCATTGGTTGGATAACCAATGTGTTGAAACGTCGTGTATCAGAACTTGCTCTAGACATCTCTTCTTGTTGGGATTGGCCTATGTCTACAGCTATTGATGGGTGCGGTACAATGGTTCAAGAATTTTGGGAATCTTGCTCTGTATCTAGCACAAGCCTCAAAAGACTAACGTTGCGTTTTAATCAAATGTTCTTTGAGAATCACAAGAATGTGTCGTTTGATACTCCCAATCTCTTGTACTTGGAGTATTCTGATGTTATTGCTGACAAGTATCCTAAAGCGAATTTTGATTCGCTTGTTGAAGCTCGTCTCGATCTTCAAATGACACATGATCAGATCCATAAAGCAAAATTTTCAGAGGATGATTTAATCAAGCATGAAGGGATGGTTGGCAATGCAACTGTTTTTTTTATTGGAATTTGTAATGTTAAGTCCCTCTACTTATCTGACAACACTCTTGAGGTCAGTAGTCTCCAATTCGTACTCATCTTTTTTCTTTCTTTTTGAGTTAAAGATGTGATCATAAGCGAGTGGTGTACTTGTTGTTTTGTTTTAGGTACTCTGTTTCTGCTGTGAGCCAATGCCGGTTTTCAACAACCTGATTCAGTTAACTGTTAAGACTGACCGACTTGTGGGATGGGAATCATTGACCGCTCTGCTCAAGAACAGTCCAAATCTAGAAACCCTTGTCTTTGAAGTACCAAATATATTCTTTATATCATTTGCTGATACATTATTCAAACATAGACATCAGATTTTGAAATTAGTTTCCTTTCTGTTTCAGGGACTTCTCCACAGATATGATATGAAATGTCGAAGTGACGAGTGCCTGTGCAAACCTTGGGAGGAGGAGGACATTCCCACTTGTCTATCATCAAGTCCTGTGAAGGTATTAAAGATAATGAAGTTTGGAGATATCTATGAAGATGAGGACATGGACAAAATGATGGACCAAGTCGAGTACTTCCTTGAGACAATGCCGAATCTTGAACATCTTATAATACATTACGAAACATCTATTGACGAAGATGTGGAGGAAGTATTAAGCCAATTTCAGATGGTTCCTAGAGAAGGTTTAACCGAGTGCAGGATTCAAGTAATCTCTGAGAATCTTGACTTGTCATCTAATTAAGCATCAAGCATGTTTCCTTTTTCATCGGTGAAATGAATTTCTCGTATTTTGAAAGAACTTTTCTGGTTTCTTAAGCTCTTTAGGACTCACTCATGTCTCTTTTTACCATGTCAAAGCCATGAGTGTGTCTCGGCTTTAAGTTTGTAATAGTATCTATGACTTGTTGTATTAATGCTTTTGTCGGTTGGACCAACAACGTTAACTTAATGTTTTAGTCCTTTTTTTTTTTCAGTTCTTCTCTATAAGATTTGATTTGTCTTTGTGAAGTAATTACCCTTAAATTCCAGGGAGGATCATCAAGAAATTAGGTTCACATAAAAGTTTCAAATTTCTGTTGGAATGAATTTGATATTCGAGGAGGTTTAACGCATTTACAAATTTCATGTATATGAAGTTTCCTAGTTAGAAATGCATAATACTTTTTATATTGGTAATAAAAATGTAAAACTGACATTCAAAAAAATGTCAAACTGAAAATTTTACCCAAACACAAGATCCTATATCATCCATGATGGGCCAATTACTAAATAATATCCCGTTGAGAGTTAAGGTAAAACTTGCACGTTTCAAATTCTGTCTTCCCCAACTGAGCAACGTTAGGATTGAATCATATAGTTAGGTAGTGTGATGTTGTGACAGAATTAGGGTTTCTGATGGCATTCGTTTGCGTCACGCAGGGGCAATTTCGTCTCAATATTTTGAAGGTTAAAATCTTGTAATTGAATACAGTAGGCGTAGAGATAAGCTACCTGAACTTGATTAGACTACTATTTGCAGATCATCATTTACAAAATCTGAGGACTTGACAACACTCTAAAGAGAAAATCCAGCATTGGAACTCATCCATCCCGCCAAATTATTAGGGATACAATTGCCAAAACCATAATTTTCAACTTCACCTATAAATCCCTCAATTCTGTTGTTGTTCTACAGTTGTCTTTTTGTTTCCTTTTGTGTTTTAGGGACTTCTCCCCAGAGTTGGAATGAAATGTAAAAGTGACGAGTGCCTGTGCAAACCGTGGGAGAAGGAGGACATTCCTACTTGTCTATCATCAAGTCCTGTGAAGGTCCTAAAGATATTGAAGTTTGGAGATATCTGTGAAGATGAGGACATGGACAAAATGATGGAGCAAGTCGAGTACTTCCTTGAGACAATGCCGAACCTTGAACATCTCATAATACACTACGGTACATCAATTGACGAAGATGTGGAAGAAGTACTAAGACAATTTCTGATGGTTTCTAGGGAAGGTCTAACCAAGTGCAAGATTCAAGTGATCTCTGACAACCTCCACTTGTCATCTACTTAAGCATGTTTCCCTTTCATCGTCGCAATAGATTTCTCGTATTTTGGATTCACTCATGCCTTTTATACCATCTCAAAGCCATGAGTGTGTCTCGGCTTTAAGTTTGTAATAGTAATGCAGTATCTAAGGACTTGTGTTTTATTTATGCTTCTGTCGGTTAGACCAACAATGTTTACTTAATCTAGCTCTCAAGTTTTTTCAATTCTTCTGCATAAGCTCTGATTTGTGAAAAAAAGTCATTCACTAACACGAAAAAGAAAAAGCTTTAAATTGTAAAACAGGTCTAGTGAGTCTCGGATTTGTAAACCTAAAAGTGCTAAACTTGAACTATAGCCAATCAATATTTTAAAACGTGGCATGTTTTTTCATTACCTGACAATGATATGATCTAGAATGTAAGATTTAAAAAACCATGTGAGATAAAGAAGAAAACCTATATATATATATATATATATATATATATATATATATATATATATATATATAACTGTCTCTCTGGTTATTGCTTCAAAATCTTCACTCTGACCTCCAATGCTTGGCCATTTCAAAGCCATTCTGGGCATTACGATAGTCCCTAATCGTCATATCAATCTCAGCTTGTGAGTTCATCACAAATGGCCCACGCTCAACCACAGGCTCGCCAATCGGTTCCCCTGCAATCAACAAGAACCTCAACGATCTAGAGCTTGACGTGTTCCACACGCTAACTTCGTCCCCTGTTCCAAACACCACAACATTATGTGCTTGTACTGTGGAAGAGTCCGAGGAGCTAAACACGCCTTCATCGCCTTCTATAATGTAGGCAAAGGCGGTCCATGACTCTGGAACGGTCTGGTGGGTTTGAACTCTTGGATCGAGAGTAAAGTCCAGGAACATGACTGGTGTTTTTGTGTAGAAAGGAGATTTGACTCCCATTGACTCTCCAGCTATGACTTTGACCTCTACTCCATATTCATCTGCTCTAGGAATCTCTGAACTCGACATATCTAGATTTTTAGGCTCCATCCTGTCGAAAAATTATCATAAAAACATTTAGAAATCTGTGAAGTAAAAAAGGTGAATCTTTGTGAAGAACCTTCTAATACATTTTGTCACTGGAAGGGAGGTTGATCCAAAGCTGTAACCCCTTGTTGACTTGTTCTTCAGGCATTTCAGAATGAATGATTCCTCTTCCTGCTGTCATCCACTGCAATAGAATCAGAATCAAAAGGATGAAACAAGAAAGCTTAAGAGGATTCAATAGTCTTTTGGTCTGAGATGTCTTTTTTTTTTTTTTTTTACCTGAACATCTCCTTCATGGATTGTACCTTTATTACCATTAAAGTCTTGGTGAATGATGCCTCCCTATACAAGTTAAATCGATCCGAGTAAGAAAAAACAAAAGCTTTGATTATTGACTCGAATCATCGATGAAGACATGTTTCTCACTTGCAACATGTATGTGACACTTTCAAAACCTGCACACAGTTGATCTAATCACATCAGTAACATGACAGAACAGAGCAAGCTTTGTGTACATGTAGAAATAATGAATAGGTGATACTACCTCTGTGAGGATGATCTTTGAATCCACCAGGAGGTGAAACTGAACAAACAATAAATAAGTAAACATCAAAATCAGAAATTTTAATTTACACATTATGGAAGTAGAAAGTTTTACCGGAAAATTCAACTAGCGAGACGAACGGGTCCAACAACTCTTGGTCACTCCTGAAGCACAAGGAAAATATATGAAACTTGAAGGTGAAGCATTGGATATTCCTATAAATTTTGAGAAAGAAAAAAAAGAAAACTAGCTTACTTGGTGATGCCTCGTCTAACAACAGCACCATCACCTTCATTCTCAAAATCTGCATATATCTTTTTAATGACCTTTCTCGATAACATATCTATGATTTTGATAAAACTCTGTTTATTTAATATATCTTCTGTCTCTGTTCGCTTCAGTTAAAATCGACAATAACAAAAAAAAAAAAAAAAAAAAAAAACTTTTGTGCTTTTTAATGGAGAATCTGATATTGGCATACGTTCATATTTATTATCAATCCCTTATATTAATGCAGAGGATCGATGGTCGTCTTAATTAGACGAGCAAAACCCCCCCCCCCCAAAAAAAAGAAGGAAATATATCCAATTTTAGGAAATTGAATTAGTTTATACGATTTTCTTTTCCATAATTGTTTGTTTGTAATGGATGTTACCAATTTATCATAAGTCAAATTTGAATGTTGTCAATTTATATCATAACTAGATTGTTACCCGCGGTACACCGCGGGTTAATTATTTGATTTTTTTTTGTCTTTTTATAAACTGATGAATTTGTTGTATATAATATTTTTTGTTGTACATTGCGAGTCACATGCGTTGTAACTAAAAATGAAAATTTTAAGTTGTATTTGTTTTGTTTTGTGTTCAAAATTGTATAATTGTATTTTGATTTGTTAATCCCAGGATTTCACCCGTGATATATTATCCCGTATTAATATCAATCCAAATCCGATCCGTCCCACCATATAATCATGTCCCGTAAAATTAAACATCATTTTGTTATTTCTTTTAATAACACTTTTATTTAAAAGACATATAATTCGAGTCAATTTAAAAGTTTGCTTTCAAATAGTTTCTATAATATATATATATATATATATATATATATTTTTCAAATTAGTGTGTGTTTTTAGACCAACCCGTAAAAATATTTTAAAAATGTATATTAAAATAATAAATAATTGTATTTCGATTTGTTAATTTTAAGATTTCACCGTGGTATATTGTCCCGTTTTAGATAATTGTAGAAATTAAGAAAATATCGGAATGACTCAATTCCGGGTCAGAGTAAAAAAAAAAATACGACCTGATTAAACGCGCAAATTTGTTTTTCAAAAATGTTAATATAGATTGTACACATACTTTTTTCTTCATCGATTGAGTAATATGTCCGTTTTAAAAATTTTGAATCATAGCATATGCAGAAAAAATCGAATTTTTTTATTAAGTATATATATTTTATAATAGTTCAAAATAATATAAATATAAGATCATATAAAAGTGAAATGAGAATCATATATTTATGTTTTAATTAGGTAGAGTGGTTTTAGGAAATTAGTTCAAATTTGTTATATTAGCATTAAATAATCATATTTGATTTCTATATCTATAAAAATTGTAGAGAATATGCCATAAATAAAGAGTTTAGGTATAGTAATTAGTTGAGAAAACATATATATTTTTAGATTTTATTGATTAATTTTCGTTTTTTAATTTTGTCAAAAATAAGGAAAGATCCGATTGAAGATTTCCGGGTCAAAATTAAACAAAATTTGACCCGATTAGGAACCCAAAAAATGTTGCAAAAGTGTATAGTAGAAGGAAATTATGGACTAGTACGACGTCGTTTGGAAGTAGTCTGGCCACAATATTGTAGTACTCTCATTTTCTCGAAAACCTTTTTTTTTTTTTTGTTGTTTCTCAAACAAAACCTCTGAATACGGCTGTCCCAAAGATTTATTAGGGTTATTTTGATGGCATCTGAACCCTAGTGAGTTCCCTCATTTCTTATTCTTATCTTGTTATTCTGTAGTCTCAGACTTTTAATTTTTCTCTAGCAATTTGCTTTTGTTTGTACTTGTTTAATTCTTAGCATTTTTTGTGAACTTCTTTGATTGGTTTTTACTTACTCATGTCATTCTTTTAGGTTGTCACTGTTGAGATCTGTCACTATGACTTCGAAAAAGATGGATATTGGTCCCAAAGATATAATCAGCAATCTACCAGAAGCTCTGATTTGCCACATATTGTCATTCCTTCCCATAGAAGATTCTGCTTTGACTTCAGTTCTATCAAAGAGATGGCGGTATCTCTTTGCTTTCACACCATATCTTGTTTTCGATGACTCGATGTTTCTACGTCCTGCAATTAGTAACAGAGAAAAGGATGCGATTCTTAGTAGTTTTATGGCTTTTGTGGGTAGAGTATGTAGAAAATAAAGTTGCAGACATGTAGAAAATAAAGTTGCAGGTTTTCTCAAATCCTCCGATATATTATTGCTGAGAATTGGTGGGCCTTAAATAGCCAATGACATGAAGACTAAGTCTCCTACAACTAAACAATGAGAAACTTGCGGAAGTAAACTAATGACTAGGACCACTACTACTTGACTCCTACAGACCAGGAGCTTATTCAAACTTGAAAAACAACTTAAAGACTCATTCAAACTAAAGCTAAAAGACCAATTCAACTCTAATACTCCAACAGAGTACTGGATTTGCAAGGGAATTCTACTATAAACAAGTTCTCTCTAAAGTGTGGACATGGTGTTGTTCCAGATTATGTCACGTCTTGGGTATTAAATGTGTTAGAACGTGGTGTATTGGATCTTGATTTGCACGTTACTGTGTATGGGGTTCGTCTGCCTTCAAAGGTCTTTGTGAGCAAGTCACTGGTTAGCCTGAGAATAGAATCTGGAAATGTTCGTGGCATTGATGTGGACGATGTTTTTCTTCCAAAGCTTAAGTATCTCTATATTAATACAATTATGTTAGGAAAAGCTGATGATTGCTTTGAAAAGCTTACTGCTGGTTGTCATGTCCTTGAGGAATTAGTTCTGAATAATGTCTACTCCAATATTTGGAACCGCTCTGTGTCTTCCAAAACCCTCAAGAGACTAACGCTATGGTGTATAGACTATGATAAAAATCCGGATAGTGTTTCGTTTGATACGCCAAATCTTGTCTACTTGAAATACTCTGATTATGTTGCAAGAAAGTATCCAAAAGTGAACTTCAGGTCGCTTGTTGATGCTACTATTGATCTTGCAATGACAAGTGATCAGGATGCACATGCAAGCTATGAAGCTTTGGTTGGCAATGCAAAAGACTTTCTTATGGGAATATGCAACGTTCAGATCCTTTACTTATCTGCCAACACTCTTGGGGTATGTTAGTGTAATTGAGTAATTGATTAATGATTTTTTGGAGAGATATAGTGATTGCATATGAATAATGATGATATGGTTCTTTTGGGAATTGTTTCAGGTTCTTACTTTCTGCTGTGAATCTATACCGGTATTCAACAACCTGATTCATTTAACTATAGAGACCCGGAACGTAGGATGGGAATCATTGCCACCTCTACTCAAGAACTGTCCAAATCTTGAAACCCTTGTCTTCCAAGTACCCACAAATATCATTTTATTGCATCCGTTAACACAATTTTTCAAACAAACTAAACTAGATCTTGATGTTGATTCCTATATGATTCAGGGACTCCGCCACAGATATACAATCAAATGTGGGGATGTTGACGGGTGCCTATGCAAATATTCAGGGGAGATTTCGAGTTGCTTATCATTAAGTCCGGTGAAGGTTTTAAAGATATTGAGATTTGATGAATATGGTATAGAGAATCAGATAGAGCTGATCAAGCTCTTCCTAGAGACAATGCCGTGTCTTGAGCAACTGACAATATACTACGATACACCAATTGATGATGCTCTGATTCAAGTGTCAAGCCATCTTAAGAACTTTGCTAGAGAAGCTTCACCAAATTGCGAGATCCAAGTAATCCATGATGATGTCCTTAGCTAAACCAAGATTCTCCTCTTCATTCTGCCTTTTGTTCTTAGTTTTTGTGATTCGTGTTTGATGATTTGTCATCTTGATTGGGAATGCTCGATTAATTATCTTTTGCTTGTTTGGGCTCTTAGTTTGAGTAGCTAACTTTTCATTCAAGCCTCTGCAAAAAGAAAATAAGTCGAACTAATTTACTGAAAACAGAGCATTGTTATTATTATCCAAAAATAAAGAATAACACCCCAAAATTCATATGGGGGTTTTGAAGCATGAAGATTATGTGTCAAGAAAATCGAGCAAGCAAGAAATGCACTTAGGAATCTTCAAGGAACACAAAAATAAGGTCAAAATAATCACAAAAATAAGGCCATGGATTGGTTTTTAGCTTTTGGTTTTTGGATTTTAGTTTTTGATTTCTAAACATTTGGTTTTTGGTTTTTACGAAAAAAATCAGAAATAAAACTTAAAAAATGAAAAGAAAAAACTTACGTTGAAAAGAAACCAGTATAAGAGGGTTGTTTCTCAAAAACTAGATTCCCTATTTTTAAGGAAACTAACTTTTACAAAATCATGAATGGATATAAAATATAGATTTTTGGAAAAACTAAAACCAAAATCTACTCAAAACCTAGGAAGCACGGAAGCTTCGTCGGACGTCCGCTTTCCGCTTCGGAATCTTAGTCGGAATCGGAAGCTTTCGGAATCTCGCTTCCATAACGCTTCTAAAAAATTCATTTTGGAAGCTTACGATTCTATTTTGGAAGGTTGCAATTCCAATTAAAAAATTTGATGTCACAAAATAAATAAGAAATAAGAAATTATTTTTGATAGTTTTTTTATACAACAAAAGAAAAACCAAAACTAATTTTGCATACTAATTTTGTATTTTATTTTTTAAAATATCATAGTTAGAAAAATGATAGCAGCATGGATCATTTATTAGGGAGATGTTGAAATGATTAATTGAATTAAATTAATTTTGAGAAATTTGAGTTTGATGATGTTTTTATTGGTAAAAAAAAATTTTAAACAATTTTATTTGATGGAATTAGTAAAATGAGAATGAAGAATGATCTTAAATTTTTGACTTTGAACTATTTGACTTTTCTCTATTGTAAACGTACACTATTTGATTTTTAAATATAGAGAGATATTTAGAATTTATGTATTAGATTTGTATATTAATTATAATTTTTTATATGATATAATGTTTAATGTTTATTATATATATATATTAATTTTTATATACGCTTCCAACACGTACCCACTTTCTATAATTTCTATAAAAATCGCTTTCACGTTTCCAAACGCTTCGCTTCTGCGTACCCGCTTCTGATTCCATGCAACCTAGCTCAAAACAACTTTTTTACTCAAAACAAATGGCAAAATTTGACTAGATACTAAAATAAGATAAGGAAAAATCTAGCCTGATTCTTAAATTTATTTTAATTTCTTTGGTACGTAATCTAATCTAATTTAATTTATTTGGTTAACGTCCACAAAATTTGATACCTTTGGTAAGTAAGTAATCGATTTGGGTTGATATTTGTAAAAAACAACTAAATAAAACAAAACCTATTATACAAAAACTCCAAAAACGTTCCTTTTTTTTTTTCTTTTTTTAAAGAGAGGATAAACAAATAGAACAACGTAGGATACACCGAGCACGTAACATGCTAAGCGCACCTAGAAACCCTAAAACCTCTCCGATTCGTCACCGCCATTGCACACTATAAATATATAAAAAAATCAGAATTTTGGTCGAGTGTAACCCTAATTTACTCTTCGGCTTCCCCTCTCGCAATCAATCATTTCAATTTTGATGGCCTCTTTTCTAATTTCCAAGTGAGGTTCCCAATTTCTTCTGATGATTATTTTGTGTGATTCCTTAGTGTCGAACTTTAATGTTTATTTAGCAAATTTGCTTTGGTGGGTGTTTCTGTTTGATTCTTAACTGTGTCAGTCAAGCGTGTGAAACTCTTTGACCAAATTTACTTATTTTTTATCAGGTTTGTAACTGTTTGAGATCTGTCACTATGAATTCAACAAAGATGGATGATATTTGTTGCAAAGATATAATCAGCAATCTACCAGAAGATCTTATTTGCCACATATTGTCCTTTATTCCCACAATTGAAGCTTCTTTAACATCGCTTCTCTCCAAAAAATGGCGGTATCTCTTTGCTTTCACACCAAATCTTGATTTCGATGATTCGATATGTAGGCGTCTTCCAATGGTTGACATGAATAAAAATTTCATGGATTTCGTGGATAGAGTTTTGGGTTTGCAGGGTAATTCTACTATAGATAGGTTCTCACTCAAGTGTGGAAATGGTATTTATCGAGAATGCATCTCTAGGTGGATATCAAATGTCATTGAACGTGGGGTATCGGAACTTGATTTACGCGGTACTTTGGTTTCGAATAGTTCGATGCCTTCAAGTGTCTTTTTGAGCAAGTCACTTGTTAAGCTGAAAATAGATACTGAAAATGGTTCTGTCATTGATTTGGAAGATGTTTTTCTTCCAAACCTTAAGACTCCATCTTGGTTCTGTTTGGTTTGGAGAGGGTGATACTGGCCTTCTCAAGCTTATTTCTGGATGTCATGTCCTTGAGGAATTAACTATGATTCATCTATGGTGGGGTGGTTATTGGAACCGCTCTGTGTCTTCCAAAACCCTTAAGAGACTTACGGTAGGTTGTTCAGATTGGAAAAGAAGTCCGGGTAGTGTGTCATTTGATACGCCAAATCTTGTTTACTTTGAATACCATGATCTGGTTGCGGACAAGTATGAAATAGTGAATTTCGACTCACTTGTTGAAGCTAGCTAGTATTAATCTTCGAATGAGACATGATCAGCGTGCACATGCAAGCTATGGCGATTTGGTTGTTAATGCAAAAAATCTTTTTATAGGGATAAGCAATGTTCAGATCCTTAAATTATTTTCCAACACTCTTGAGGTTTGTTGCTAATCATTTTTTTTTCGCTACTTAGAAAGTAAAACAAGACAAACAACCTCTAATTTGAATTAGTGCTTGGTTTATGTTTCAGGTGCTTACTTTCTGTTGTGAACCAATACCTGTATTCAAAAACCTGATTCACTTGACTTTGGAGACTGACAAAGATGTAGGATGGGAATCATTGCCGGCTCTACTCAAAAACTGTCCAATTCTAGAAACCCTTGTCTTCAAAGTACCAACACATATCCTTTTACTGCATTTTTGCTAACACAATTTTTTCAAACCAAATATGAGTTTAAACTTTAAAGTTGTTTCATCTATGATTTAGGGACTCCATCACAAACATACAATTAAATGTGAGGACGCTGACGGGTGTCTATGCAAATCTTCAAAGGAAATTTGTAGTTGCCTATCATCAAGTCCGGTGAAGGTTCTGAAGATACTCAAGTTTGGCGAAGTTTCTTCTTACTTTGATGACGAGGAAAAGCAGCTGGAGCTAGTCAAGTATTTCCTGGAGACAATGCCGAATCTTGAACAGATGATATTGTGTTACAATACACGAATTGATGAAGGTGTGAAAAGTCAACTTGAGAGGCTAGTTCCTAGAGTATCTTCATCGAAGTGTAGTGTCCAACTAATCTGTGATAACTTCATCGCACCAACTTATCCTTTCTATGGTATCGTACCAGCACCATCTTATCCTGTCTATGGTATCCCCTGCATGGGAGATCAGCCTATTTTAACTAAGAGAAGATTAACAAAGCTTTTGTTCTAGTTTTAGCACAAAAGCATCTAGTTTCGCCTCTATTCTTCACTTTGTCTTACTCTTTCGGCTTCTCAATATGCATTTTTAACCTTATTGTGTTGCATATACTTCAAGTTTTCTCAAGGGTTCCAAGTTTTTAATTAATATAGCTTTTGTTTTAGTTCTTGGTACAAAATTATTTAGTTTGGTCTCTGTTTTGTTATATGTGTCTTACTCTTTCGGCCTTCTCAATATGTTATACACTTCACGTTCTCTCAAGGCTTTCAAGTAGTTAATTTGCTCCACGGCGAGTAAATATGATGTTTGCGTGCAAGTAAATATCAAAATTCAAATTAAGGAGGAAATCAAACTCTTTTCTGTATAAATTGGGTTTAGTTATTTTTTTTTGGTTATTTTTGGTTTCTTCTATAAAACCGAATTAGGAAACTAAAGAGGTTTTATAAGACTAAACCCTAATGTTCTCTTTGTACTTTAGAAATCACTCGTCCCGCCACATATCCATCTCACTCTAGGTCACAAGCAAAAACCCTAATGTTCTCTTTCACTTCCCTCTCGCAATCGAGTTCTCAATATTCGTGTGATTTTTATGCGCTCAAGTGAGTCTCTTCATTTCTTCTATTGATCTTATGCTCCTCTGATGTCGAAAGTTTATTTATTTTTATGTCTCCAGCAATTTGGTTTTGTGTACTTCTGTTTAATTCTTAGTTTTTTTTCTTATAACTTTTTGATACTTAGTTGTGTTACTTTAAGCTTCTCAAATCCTTGGATTGAATCACTTACACGAGATCATGTGGTTTTTTAGGTTGTAACTGTTGACATCTGTCACTATGTGTTCGAAAAAGTTGAATATTGGTTCCAAAGATATAATCAACAGTCTACCAGAAGCTCTTATTTACCACATCTTGTCGTTCCTTTCCACAAAAGAAGCTGCTCTAACATCGCTTCTCTCGAGAAAATGGCGGTATCTCTTTGCTTTCGTACCAAATCTTGATTTTGATGATCCGGTACGTATGCAACCTGATATGGCTAACCAAGAAGAGACTGAGATTCATACGAGTTTTATGGATTTCGTGGATAGAGTACTGGCTTTGAGGGGGAATTTTCCAGTAAGCAAGTTCTCTTTAAAGTGTGGAAATGGTGTTGACGATGTTGGTGCCAAGCGTTGGATATTGAATATGTTGGAACTTGGTGTATCGGATCTAGATTTACGCCTTGCATTAGATAGGAATTATCTGTTTCCTTTAAAAGTATTTGTGAGCAAGTCGCTGGTTAAGCTGAGAATAGGAGCCAGAAATGGTCTCGCCGTTGGAGGTCTCATCATGAAAGTGGGAGATGTTTCCCTTCCAAAGCTCAAGACTCTCTGTCTTGATTCGGTTGTGTTAGATTACCAGATAATTTGTTTGGCTAAGCTTCTTTCAGGTTGTCATGTCCTTGAACAATTAGCTCTGGTTAATCTTAGTTGGAATTTTTGGGAGTATTGCTCTGTGTCTATCCCAACCCTCAAGAGACTAACGTGTTGTATTGAGGAGGATTGGATCAACCCACCACCGAGTGTCACATTTGATAATCCGGCTCTTGTCTACTTTGAATATACCGATACTGTTGCGTTAAAGTACGAAAAAGTGAATTTCGATTCGCTCGTTGAAGCTAGGCTCGGTCTTCGAGTGGCATATGAAGAGACAGAAAATCCAATAGAGTTCCCTGATGGCATCCCCTTCCCAGTTATAGAATATGTTACGGTCGGTGATGCAACTGATCTACTTATGGGATTACGCAATGTTCAGGTTCTTTACTTATATGCGAGCACTCTTGAGGTTTGTATATTAATCCCACCTCTTCTCACACTCTTTTATTATTTTTAGCTACATAGAAAATTAAAGAAGACAAAGAACCTTAATATCTTTGTTTCTGTTACTATCTCATTGCTTAAGGATTTGAGTTAATGATTCCAAATGAATGATGATGTTCTAATAATTGATTTGGTTTTGTTTCAGGTACTTACATTCTGCTGCAAAGCAATACCGATATTCAACAACCTGACTCATTTAACTATTGAAAGTAACACAAAAGTTGGATGGGAATCATTGCCGAATCTGCTCAAGAAATGTCCAAATCTAGAAACCCTGGTCTTCCAAGTACAAATCAAACCCTTTTAAGACATTATGTGACAGATTTTTCAGCCGTGAGGAAAAGCTTAACATAAAGTTTCATTTATTGCTTCAGGGACTCCTCCACAAAGCTACGGATAGATGTGGAGACGTGTGCCCGTGCAAACCTCCGGAGAATATTCCTACTTGCCTATCATCAAGTCCGGTGAAGGTTCTAAAGATATTGAAGTTTGGGGAAGTTAATGACAAGACAGAATTAGAGCAAATCAAGCATTTCTTGGAGTTAATGCCGCATCTTGAACAGCTCAATATATACTACGATACATCAGTTGACGATAATCTTGTTAAAGTATCCAAGCAACTTCAGGAAATTCCTGGAGTAGCTTCAGCAAAGTGCAAGGTCCAAGTAATCTCCGATAACCTCACCTTCTCAGTTACTTTACCCTCTTCCTCATCGATTTAATGGATTGCTCTTAATTTTTAGAAGAATCTTTATATTTCCGGCTTCTTAGGTCTAAAACTGAAAACCAAGTTTCTCTTGTTTCAGCCTTTTGTTCTTAGTTTGGTGCACATCTATTTGTCCTTTTGATTGAGAATGTTAATTATCTTTTGTTTGCTTCTGTTCTTCTGTTGTATTGAAGAAACATTATTTCCTTAAAGAATTATGATTTGATTACAGTTTCTTGGTGATAAGGAGTTATATTAAGCAAGCTTGTGAGTATTTACAGGTTTTAGTATGGTTGTGTCACTCTGTTTTAATAACCATATGGTGGATTAGTGACATAGAAATTGAAATTGTGAACATGTTTCTATTTGTCTCAAGCTTTCTCTGATCCATTTGTCGTCAAAGCTGAATGCTGTAATACAATCTCGAGTATAATCGACTGTCTGAAAGAGAGGATTGTTATTATAGCCCCTAACATTGATCTCATCTTGAATGTGAAATAAAGAAAACAAAACCCAAAAAATTCATATGGTTTTTGTTTACAAACTCTTTTCACTGTGACCTAACACTTGGCCATTTTTTTTTTTGACAATAAAATGGCATTCTGATAGTCATCAAAAGCCATATAGACCCCCGCCTGCGAATTCATCACAAACGGACCACATGTGTAAAATCTAGTGCTTCTTTTTTTCTGGGCTCACATTTTTATATTAAACCAAGAACCATTACACTCCATAAGAGGAGGAGTTTAGAGAAGACAAAGCACTCTTTGCTAAAGAGTCTGCAATTACATTAAAGGAGTATCAGTAGGTGATTTTATTTGAGTATCATTAAATCATTTTTTAATGGATCAAAGCAAGTATTTGGGTCTGATCCGTATCAGTCCACTGATACTTTTGATACTCAGTATCGGGTGACGTGGCAGCACACGATTAGTCAGCGAAAGCAGAGAAAAAAAAAAATCATTTCCCCTTCTCGATTCTTCTCTCCTCTCCTCTCACGGCAATTCGCCGTTCTTCTTCTCATCCTTTCTCATCTCCTTCTCATCAAGAAAGGTAATTTATTTTTCTTCTATGTCATCTCTCATTCACTATCTTCTTATTCTCTTTTCGCTATTTCGATGAATCACTTAGAAATGGTATTGAACATTTTTGTTTGTTTGTGTGTTTCAGACATTTTTAGGGTTCATCAGAGAAAGAAAAAGAGATTCAGAGATCCATTGTACCAAGCCCACGTTGATTTACAGGTTATCTCGAATAGAATCCGTTGGTTGATTTGACTCTCTGTTTTGCAATTCCTCTAACTTCTGGACAGAGACTTTAAAGTCTCTATCTATTTGAATTAAAAACTTTGAATCAAGAACAAAGCTTATGAGATTCTAATGTTGTGTGTGATAGTTTCGAATTGTTGAAATTCACCTTTGTTTGTTTTCAAGAGAATGATTTAATTGAGGTCATATTAACTCTAGTGATTCATGTGGTTTCTTCTTCATGATCGTGCTTAGACATGTCAATTAGGGCCAAAGCCCGCAGGCTGGCCCGGCCCAGCCCTGAAAAACAGCAGGCTCGGACTTAAAAATATATGTCCAGAAAAAAATCGGGCTTTTCGGGCTAAGACCGTTGGGCTAAAGGGTTTTTAGGGCTTAGCCCGACCGGGCTCGGGTCGACCCGAAAAGCCCTTAAAAAGAGATTTTAACTTCCTTTTTTATAAATATTATTGTTTAATTAAGAGATTTGTTTAAAGATTTTTTTTAATAGAGTTAAAAACTCTAAACCTAGTTTTCTAATGTTTTCTAATTGTGTCTTACTATAAGTGTTATGATTTTATATTTTATTTAATGTGGGTTTAAACAATTTATTTGGATTATTTATTTGATTTTAAACTTTTTTAAAAACTAGATTGACTTTAGTGGGTTATTTAAGTTTCGTTTGACTCATTTTATACATAGATTTTTTTTTTTCAAGAGATATTATAAATTAGAAGGGTTCATTTTTCTCGAAAGAAAGGCCCAAAAAAACCCGTAAAAGCCCTGTAACCCTGTTAGGGCCGGGCCGGGCTTCAAAATATAGGCTCAGAATTTTTACGGGCCGAGCCGGGCTGGGCTTAAACATATGCGAGTTTTGCGGGCTTCGGGCCGGGATGGGCCGGGCTAGCCCGATTGACATGCCTAACCTGAATCTTGTTCAGGCGTTCTGAACTCTCTGAATATTTGTTTAGCATTTAGTGAATTTGTGAGGTAAACACGTTGTGATGTTATTACAAAAAAAAAATTGGTTATTACAAAAAATATTAAAAAAATAATTAAAACAGATTCTAAATGATATTTTTTTACCGCTTTATCCAGAACGGCTCGAGTGCGTTCAATGTCTAAAATGAGTTCTCTGTAAACTTTCTCAATCTCTGAAGCCCTATGTTGGTCTGCAATAAAAAAATTAATTATGTTTTCAAATAATGAAAATCAAATATTCAAACCACATAATTTTAGTTTTGGAAAAAACAAAATAATAATTTGACTAGTTACACTTGTACTTATACAAGTCGGATTAATTTTAGTCGCAGTGAAGAGATTGATAAGTCATACCCAAATTTTGGAATCATCTTTCTTCTCTTTGGTCGTCTACATATAGTTTCTTAATTATCTATAATTTACCTGTATACGATATTAAATGTTCGAAGAATAACCAGTATAATAATATGACTCTAAAATTATCGTGGGAATTGAAGAAAATCATCGTTATTACTTACTTACACTGTTAGGTAAAAAAAAATCAAACCAGAAACCTAGAAAATTTGGAAGTGCAATTATGTTTCTACTTTCTAGATTACCACATAATTTTAGTTTTTACCTACGGGATCGTCGGTATTCATAGCCTGGGTATATTGAACCTTAAGGAGTTCTACTTTTCTCTACGCATCCCTCAATATCACTTGGATACCATTTATTTCATCAATGCACAATTCATACGGGCATCCTTTCGCCGCTCAAGGCAATCTCCCCACCACTTGAAAATACAAGCCATCTACACACACATAGAGGAGAGTAAACATCATCCTTCAAGAAGAAGAACAGTACAAAACATGGATTTGAGCAAACCAAGCAAAGAAGATCTAGACAAGAGTTCAGCGAAGAAGAACACAGATCTAGATTCAAAATTGAGAAATTCTAAAACAGAACATACAAAAATTGAAAGCAAAGTCGAGATTCAACGTAAATTGTTTAATCCTCCAAGAAGAAGAACAGTACAAAACATGTACAAAACAATTTACGTTTGAATCTCGACTTTGCTTTCAATTATTGTGTCACTCTGTTTTACTTAAGGTCCACTATAAGCTTTCTTTAAAATCGTTAATCATAATAAAGTCATTTGTCGGCAGATAATTTTCACGTCAGCTACATAATCCCCTAAATTAAATGTGTATAATTTGATGAGATCACAAGATTTTCTTCAATGTAGTAGAGTGTATCACAAGTCATCGAGCAGTTTGTAATCGATTGCATGAATACAAAATTATGATTAAATGTTAGTCACATATCGTTGATTAGAAGAAAAAAAGGTTACGAAGACCAAAGAAAAGAGAGAGATGGTTAAAAGAACAGTATCTCACGCGCCTTTTGCGCCTCCTTCTTCGAATCCTTCAGCAGTATTAAGTTCACGTGGTTTAGGTGTGCGTGGTTATGTCACGTGTTGCTTCTACTTGTACTGTTACATTACACCTCTAGAAAATAGAATGATAAGACAAAAAAAAATTGAGTAGTAGGGTGATATTTATTTACTTTTCACAGTATAGTAAATTACTAAATTGTGATGCAATAAAATGTAAAAAAAATCATTACAGAATAATGCAGTACTTTTCACAGTACTGTTTGAACTTTAGTGACAATGCATTCTTTGAATAGTAAAACACAAATAATAACAGTTTAGTTGGTAGTAGACATGTCAATTAGTGCCGAAGCCCGCGAGCTGGCCCGGCCCAACCCTGAAAAACAGCGGGCCCGGGCTTAAAAATATATGTCCAGAAAAAAATCGGGTTTTTCGGGCTAAGCCCGTTGGGCTAAAGGGTTTTTAGGGCTTAGCCCGGCCGGGCTCGGGCCGGCCCGAAAAGCCCTTAAAAAGATATTTTAACTTTTTTTTTTTGTAAATATTATTGTTTAATTAAGAGATTTGTTTAAAGATTTTTTTAATAGAATTAAAAACCCTAAACCTAGTTTTCTAATTGTGTTTTACTATAAGTGTTATGATTTTATATTTTATTTAGTGTGGGTTTAAACAATTTATTTGGATTATTTATTTGATTTTAAACTTTTTTAAAACTAGATTCACTTTAGTGGGTTATTTAAGTTTCGTTTGACTCGTTTTATACATAGATTTTTTTTTTTCAAGAGATATTATAAATTAGAAGGGTTTATTTTTCTCGAAAGAAAAGCCCAAAAAAACCCGTAAAAGCCCTGTAGCCCTGTTAGGGCCGGCCCGTGCTTCAAAATCTAGGCTCGAAATTTTTACGGGCTAGGCCGGGCCGGACTCAAATATATATGGGTTTTGTGGGCTTCGGGCCGGGCCGGGCTAGCCCGATTGACATGCCTAGTTGGTAGTAGTATTATGTGGTCTGTCAAATTTCCTCTAACAAAAGAGTATTGACTTTTATGAATGGTTGTCTATCTAGTCAACAGTAAAAAATCCACCGTTGGATCATTTAATAATCACAAATGATTTGAGATATATATTTAATGCATTGTCTTTTTTTTCTTCACTCTTCCACAATACCTAAAAAGAAACAGCCTAAGACTAAGCTGAAGAAGAAGCAAGAAAGAAAGAAAGAAACAGAGAAAATGAGAGAAGAAAAGGAAGAAGAGAAGGCGAAGCTTGCACTTGTGTTAGCTGCAAAGTCAAGATCATTGTTGTACACTTCATCGCCTGCGAGTCCACGTGTGTTTGCTTCTCCGATTCACACTCTTGCCTCTGTTCCGTTTTGTTGGGAAGACCAACCAGGCAAGCCCAAGAACCCTCTTCGTCCTCTTTCTTACCCCAAGTGTCTTGATTTGCCACCTCGTTTGCTCCTTCCTGGTGAGTTTACGCAAATGCCCTTGCCCGAGAGGAAGCATGGGCTCTTGCGGTTCTTGAGGAGGAAAGGGAGAGCCGGAGAGGGGATGTTGTTGTCAGGGGTAATTATGTCTTTCTGTCGGACAATCAGAGAGCAGGAGAGATCAACGAGAACAACATGAAGATCATGAAGTTTAACAGATCAGGGAGTTTCCATGGTGGTGGTTCTGTTAAAGGATCTCACTTTTGGGTAAAGTTTTTGTGTTTCTCCGCTTCTTCTTCATGACTTCATCTCCCAAGTCCTGTCTATTTACTCATTGCTTAATAGTCCAACATTTTGATATGTATACTCTATAAGCAAACAAATGCGTCAAGTATTAACTCAGAACCAATTTGCTTTTGGTTCATGTATGAACTTTGTTAAAAATGTATTATTTTCGTCATGGATGAGTGTCGTCATGATCACATTATGTAGAAAATAAATATAAGAAAAAATCAAAATAAACATAATGTGATCATGACGACACTCATCCATGACGAAAAGAATACATTTTTAACAAAGTTCATACATGAACCAAAGATAGAACTCTCAAAACATCAAGGTGATGAATAAGCTAAATCAAATACCAAAAAAAAAAAAAAAAACAGTCCAAACAGTCGGCTATTCTGATACTAACACAAACTATCATGCCGAGATTCGGGATCAGTAACATTTCATTAGACAGAAAACCGATGACGGATTATAGCAGCAAAATCAACTGTCTGAAAGAGAGTGACACAACCATATTAAAACAGAGTGACACTCTGATCCATTTGCAGTATGGTTGTGTCAAAACAGAGTGACATAGAAATTGAATGCTGTAAAACAGAGTGACACTCTGATCCATTTGTAGTATGGTTGTGTCACTCTGTTTTAATAACCATATGGTGGATTAGTGACATAGAAATTGAAATTGTGAACATGTTTCTATTTGTCTCAAGCTTTCTCTGATCCATTTGTAATCAAAGCTGAATGGTGTAATACAATCTCGAGTCTAATCGACTGTCTGAAAGAGAGGATTGTTATTATAGCCCCTAACATTGATCTCATCTTGAATGTGAAATAAAGAAAACAAAACCCAAAAGAACCTATATGGTTTTTGTTTACAAACTCTTTTCACTGTGACCTCTAACACTTGGCCATTTCAAACCCGTTCTTAGCATTCTGATAGTCATCAAAAGCGATATCGATCTCCGCCTGCGAATTCATCACAAACGGACCACACTGAACCACAGGCTCACCGATCGGTTCCCCTGCAATCAACAGAAACCTCAACGACCTCGAAGTTGACTTGTTCCACACGCTAACTAAATCCCCTGGTCCAAACACAACAACATGATGCGCGGATATAGCGGAAGAGTTCAACGAACCGAACACACCCTCATCGCCTTCTATAATGTAGGCGAAAGTGGTCCATGATTCTGGAACGGTCTGGTGGGTTTGAGATCCTGGCTTGAGGGTAAAGTCAAGGAACATTGTTGGTGTTCTTGTGTAGACTGGAGATTTGATTCCCATTGAATCTCCGGCTATGACTTTGACTTCTACTCCTTTTTCTTCTGCTCGCAGGATGTCTGAACTTGAGAGTTCTTTATATTTTGGTTCAATCCTGTCAAAATCAAAGAACAGAGAAATTCAAAACTGGAACTCTTTCTGAGAATAGATGATACTAGAGATTGATCTTATACATTTTGTCCGTGGAAGGGAGATTGATCCAAAGCTGAAAACCATTGTTGACTTCTTCTTCCGGAAATTCGGAATGAATGATTCCTCTTCCTGCTGTCATCCACTGTCAGATCAAAGTCAAAATTGAGTGAAACCAGGAAACTTAAGAGAGGATTTGGATGTTTTTTGATGGTGTGTTATGTTTTGTTTTCACCTGAACATCTCCGGCTTGGATTGTACCTTTATGACCTTTGGGATCTTTGTGAATGATACCTCCTTGTAGCATGTATGTAACACTTTCAAAACCTGCACACAGTTGACCAATTACATTAGAGACAATTCAGAACAGAGAAACTTTGTGCCTTCATGTGTAAGAAGTTATGGGTGAAATTGACCTCTGTGAGGATGATCTGGGAATCCAGCTGAGAGTGAAACTGATCAAGAAACAGAGCAAATGATTATGCAAGCTTTAGATTATCCTATAACATGCTAACATAATAAAAGACTCACTTTCTCATTTACAGATTTAGTGGAAGGAAGAAACTTACGGGAAAATTCAACTAGCAACACGAACGGGTCCAGTAACTTCTGGTCAATCCTGAATTAACCCAACAAGAAAAATATATGAAACTTGAAAGCCATTGGATTTTGCTTTTGAGAAAGAAGAAGAAGAAACTCACTCTGTGATGCCGTTTCTAACGATAGCGCCTTCACCTTCCTTCTGAAGCTTTGCTAGAACTTTCTTGATTACAAGTCTTGGTACGCTATTGTTGTCGGAAGAAATAGACATGGTGATGATGATGATGATGATGATGATAAACTTCTGTTACGTTATTTTCTCCTTCTTCTTAACGAAGAAAAGCTTTTTAATGGAGGAAGTGAGTTCTTTGTATCCGGTTAGTGGCATGTGTGTTAACTATATATAGCGAGTGAGATAGAGAGATGCAGAGGATAGACTGCAACTGGAAGTTGTAGGTGAAGGTGAGTGGGTCGATATTTCTGTGGACCAACCGTAATTATTGCTGAATAATTAATTACATTATGGATTATGGTGAAGAAATACATTTTAACAAAAATATAGATTAAATTACGAATACGTTAGGGGAAAAAAAGGATTATGAATGCTCAAAATATCCATTACTTGTGTTTAATAATCCTAGAGACACGTAGGAATATAGCGTTCACACTATAAGAGATTCTCTGCCACGTGTATGCTTATAAGAATGACACGTGGAAACAAGTGCATTGAAGTGTGAATAGTCGTAGACAAGTGGATTTGATATATGATTCGCGTCGATATTCAATTAACACATATATTCGAAATTCAAAAGAGTTTCAAATCATGTAGCCATGATTCGGCCATACTTTTTTCTAGTGTGAAATTAAAATATTTTAAGTCGACGGCCTTGTAGTATACAACTATACATAATCTATATAATAGCTATCCATCTGGTTAATCATGTTACTTAGCAAGTCAACTAGTTGACACTAAAATTCTAAACAATGTTGCAACATAATGATTCATTCACATTGATATATTTACCACTGTAAGCAATATATTTGTGAAAGTAGGTTTTATATATAATGGTCTAGATCCATGTAAAAGAAATATTCCTAAGGAAACAAAGAAAACCAAAAAAAAAACTTAAAAATCTAAAATCTCATCATCATATTGATCTAATAAAACTTGTTTATTTAAATTTACTATATATAGTTAGTTCATAACTAATGATGTTTTAACTCTCGAGTGCCGACAATGTTTGAACCAAAATTAATTGTTTTTTTCATTGGGTGTTCACACTACATCTAAATATATAAATATAAGACAATGTTTGTCAAACGACTCAAACCTAACTTTTTGATTAATTGAAACCAATAATGATTGTTTAAGAACTACTGTTCGTTGTCATCCTACGTTCAATATTAAAATGGCTGCTTAACCAGCTAATGAAGAAAATTTTAATATTCTTCATTAACCAGGCTATATTGTATATAAAACAACAAAATAATATTGAATGTTATTAAACCTCTGCTAAAAATCATCAACCACATGTTTCAGTTTGTTGTATATAAAATATATGGTTGATGAATTGATTTCCGCTCCTAGCCTAGCTAGTATGAACGTCCGCATTTTGTTCAAGGAATACAAAACATTAAATTCCAAGATATATGCATAATATATAATAATAGAATGATGCGAAATATCTTTTGAGTTTCTCCATGTTGATGTTGGGACTACTTGTGGTTTATAATAAGAGATAACCGTATATATAATAGTTAATGTTACATTTAAAAAAAAATATAATCGTAATCGGTGATTAATTAACTGTAACCGTAATAACCGTAACCGTGGTCATGCTTAAAAAATAGTGAAGAGCTAATTTTAGTTTGATATAGTTTTTATTATTTTAATCTGTTTTTATTTTTGTCCAAAAAAAAAATTTGTTTTTGTACCGTTGTAACCGTATTTAACCGTAACCGTTATAACCGTATTTAACCGTAACCGTTATAACCGTCTTTAATCGTAACCGTATTTAACTATAACCGTCTTTAATCGTAACCGTATTTAACCATAACCGTTTTAATTTGTTTTTGTTTTTGTCCAAAAAAACTGTTTATGTTATCTGTACCGCTTTTCATAAAGTTTTTGTGATTGGTAACTGTCAAAGCTGTACAAAGCTGTACAGCTTTAAAATTGTTCACCAATCAAACCCAGAAATGAACAAAATATGACTGAATTATAGGATTTAAAAAATATTGGGGGAGTTCTGTGTTCATATTGAAACCAAACACAAATTACTCAAAAGACAAAAACTTTTGGATACCAAAAAACTAAAATAGCACACAACTCCGTTACTAATTAAGAGCAACATATTGATATTATTGATTCTTATTGTGTGAAAAGGTGAGGACAAAAGAAGATTTCACTTTTAGGTGTACTGAATCTAGTTTAATGGAAAGTTCCAAAGTCAAAAAGTTCTACAAGCTCTTTTGCACCTTCCACCATTTCCTACTGTTGTGGGCTGCGGGTTCTTCTCCCCCACCAGTCTATCACACAAACCCATTAACCCAACAATCCACGGAAACACTTAATGATAGAAAAATGTACATATCTCTATAGAGAGGGAAAGATGTGAATACGTAAAGAGAGAAGATGTGAACATAGTTTTGTATTGATTTGACTTTATTTAACATTTATGTAAATCCAAATGGCCTCAATGGACCACCATTTCCTCCTGTTTCTCTTGTTTTGGCCCAAGTTCACTAAGCCAACATTTTTGGTTTCTCACCAATCTGGTTCATGATTAACTTACTTTGTGAGACGAAAGAGAGAAGTCATTCATTCACACCATTTACAGAATGCAGCATCACAAGAATGAAAGTGAATCAGCTTGAGAGAGCAACAGGAAGTCTGTTATGTGTCTTCTCCACTCAATTAAGATAACAATGTTTAGTTTCTTCTCTACTCATCCTTTAACACAAAAAAAATAGAAAAACCAAAAATGAACTCAACTTTCTCACAACAAAAGCATTAACACATAAGGATGAGAGTTTTTTTTAAGCAACAGTACAGTACTACTACTAACAACAGAAACAAGAGAGTCTTGATTTGAGTTTTTATACATTTTTAGTAACTACAGATACTTGAAGCCAGGAGACACATCCATATATAGCTTCCAAGTGGCAAACGAGACATGACCGCACTATTGATTCCACGAAACCAGTAAGGTTCTTCTAGAGGTGCAATCCATATTTCATTGACAAGGAAATGGGCAAAGTGGATGACAAGAGCTAAGGTTATCAGAGATTACTTGAATCTTGCATTTGAGTGAAGCTACTGCAGGAACCATCTGAAGTTGGCTTGATACTTCAACTAGATCATTTTCGATTGATGTATTGTAGTATATCATGAGTTGTTCAAGATTCGGCATTTTCTCCAAGAAATTCTTGATCTGCTCCATCTCTATCTCCATATCGTCATCAACATTGGTTTCTCCAAATTTCAATATCTTTAGAAATTTCACCGGACTTGATGATAAGCAAGATGGACTATTCTCCAAACCTTGGCACAAGCACACATCCCCACATCTATATGTTGCTTTGTGAAGGAGTCCCTAAAACATAAAAGAACATCTCAAATTTTAATGTTAAATTAGTCACCAGATTCATTTTCAAGAGTTTGATTTGCTCACTTGGAAGACAAGGGTTTCAAGATTTGGACAACTCTTGAGCAGATTTGGCAATGATTCCCATCCTAGTTCCGGGTGACTCTCAATAGTTAGATGAGTCAAGTTGTTGAATACCGGTATCACTTGACAGCAAAAATGAAGTGTCTGAAACAAAACAAAAGATTATCACTCATTACCAAATACTAAACTAAAACCCTCCAGTAATGTTAGATTCACATACCTCAAGAGTGTCATAAGATAAGTAAAGGGTCTTTACATTGCATATTCCCATAAGAAGATCTGTTGCATTGCCAACCATCACTGTTTCCTCATCAACATCTGATACATATCTCGCATTTGCTTTCTGATCATTCGTCATCCGAATATCGATACTAGCTTCAACCAGCGAATCAAAATTCACTTTCGGATACTTGTGCGCAATATTATCAGAATATTCAAAGTAGACAACATTTGGAGTATCAAATGATACACTCTTCGGATTTTTTTTATAGTGTGCACAACATAGCGTTAGTCTCTTGAGAAGTTTGGAAGACACAGAGCAAGAATCCCAACGATCCCACGCAAGATTAAGCAAAGCTAATTCCTCAAGAACGGGACAACCAGAAAGAAGCTTTGCAAGCCCAATCTTACCTTCTTCAAACACAACTGAATCAAGATTTAGAGTCTTAAGCTTTGGAAGACAGACATTTCTCAGTTTAACTCTGGGACCATCTTTAGGTCCTATTTTCAGCCTAACTAGTGTCTTACTCGCAAAAACCTTTGAAGGCAACCAATAAACCAATGAAGGAGAGACATGTAGAGAAAGATCTGATACACCATGTCTCAACGCATTTAATATCCAAGGGAAGACGTCTTCATCCTCAATACCATGTCCACATTTTAGAGAGAACTTGTTAATATGATCATTTCCTCGCAATTTCAATACTCTATCCACAAAATCTATAAAACTCGTCTGGTCCTGGTCCTGCATCGCAATCTCGGGATGCAGAGAGGGAAGGACATCAAAATCAAGATTTGGTACAAGAGCAAACAGATACCGCCATCTTTTTGAGAGAAGTGATGTCAAAGCAGCTTCTTTCGTAGACAAGTTGGACAAGATTTGACAAAGAAGATTGTCTGGTAAACAATTGATTACATCTTTGGAACAATCATCCATTGGTTTTTTCTGAGACAGATCAGCACTTACAAACCTGAACAATACATCCAACAAGAGGATTTCAGAAGCTAAACTCCAAACCAGTTGCAAGATCTAGTCCTTTACACAATCGGAATCATAAAGTTCGGTTAGGATTCACGAGGAAAAAAACATGAACCACAGAAGAAAAACTAGATCTTATAGGAACACAAGGTCAAAAGCACAGATTAGAAAACTTACTTGTGTTGAGTGTAAAAGCAGAGTCCATCAAAATCACTTTACAGCTTCAAACAGACGGTGAGGGTTCATAAGGGTAGGTGGAAGATGAAAATTAGGATATTTTTTCTCAGGACCAAAAGTGATATAGCAAGTAAACATGAAGAAGCAAGTAAACATGAAGAAGCAAGTAAACTGTCTTGGAAATTTGGAAATTAAGATGAAAATTTGGTAGTATTAAAAAATGTCTTGGAAACATGAAGAAGCAAGTAAAGTTTACCCGTCATTCAATTATTGGTCGGTCTATTTTGTTATTCAATTGTTTATCTCATATATTAGCCAAGTCGTATGATTCTTGTCAAAGACCAGTAGAAAAAATCGAAAGATATTTGCGTTCACACTAAAAGGATTCTCCAAAAGTACAAACAGTTTTTACTTTTAACACGACAGAAGAAGGGAAACAAACGACATAAAGTTTAACATTCTCAGTTTCAAAAAGGACAAAAGCCAGAGTACAACAAGTAAGTACCAACGACAGAAACAGAGGAAATATTGAAATGCGTTGATTTTAGATCAAAGCCTAGTACAACCAGGAATCTTCATCTTCTGGAGGAGAACCATACTGTAACATGGGATCTATTATTTGGGGAGGAGGAGACTCAACCCAGGGATATTCTTCTTCAGTAGGAAGAGAAGACCATCTCGTTGTTAAGAAAGAAGGAACAGTAGATGACAAACTAAGATTCTCAGAGATTACCTGAATCTTGCACTTTGGTGAAGCTATCTTAGGAATCTTCTGAAGCTTCTTGGATAATTCTAACACAGCAGGGTCATATGATGTATTGTAGTATACTATCAACTCTTCAAGACGCGGCATTTTCTCCAAGAAATACTTGATCTGCCGCATTTCTGACCCGTCTTCTTCATCGTTGTCATCAAACAGAAATATCTTTAGAACCTTCACCGGAGAAGATGAAAGGCAAGAAGGCTGCTTCGGACGCTTACAACAGCACACGTTCCCACATGCCTTGTTATACTTGTGGACAAGACGCTGAAGAAGTAGCATTAAGGAAAGGTTTCATAGTTAAGTTGTATTTGTTTTCATGTGACAGATAAACAAAGATGCTTTAGTTGGTTGTTTCATACCTTTAAAACAAGGATTTCCAGATTTGGACAGTTCTTGAGTAGACTTGGCAGCGAATCCCATCTTATTTCCGAGTTATTCTCGATCGTTAACTGAAACAGGTTGTTGAAAACCGGTATTGGCTCACAGCAGAAAGTAAGTACCTGAAACAAAAATCAACTATATCATCACTCACTTGTGATCATGAACTAAAGCCATTAACTGATGGGATTGATAGATATACCTTAATAGCTTCGGCAGATAGGTAAAGGATTTGAACAGTGCTTATTCCCTTAAGAAAATCTGTTGCATTACCGACCATCTGGTTTTGCTCATCATCTTCTGAGAAATAGTCTTCTTCTGAAAAGTCTGCATCTCCACTCTGATCTTCTGTCAGTCGAAGACCAATATGAGCTTCAACGAGCGAATTAAAGTTCACTTTTGGATACTTGCCCGCAATAGCATCAGAATATTCTAGGTAAACAAGGTTTGGAGTATCAAATGACACGCTCTTTGGATTCTCATAACTGTCTTCACAGAAAAACGTCAGCCTCTTGAGGGTTTTAACAGACACAGAGCAAAACTTCCAGTTTTCCCACCCGATATTCATCAGAACTAACTCCTCGAGCACGGGACAGCCAGAGAGAAGCTTTACAAAACCAAAACCACGCTCTTGAACCTCAACAGAATCAATATAGAGAGTCTTAAGCTTTGGAAGAAAAACATCTTTCCTATCAATGGTGAGAGTGAGATCATTTGCCGGTCCTAATTTCAGCTTAACCAGAGTCTTACTCACAAAGATCTCGGAAGGTAAGGAATACTCCAAGAGGCTTAGATCAAGATCTGATACACCGCGTCCTAAGACATTCAAAATCCAACCAGTAACACGAGCTAGATCAACATCATAATTAGAACAGTCTAGAGAGAATCTGTTTATGGTACCATTCCCTTGCAAAGCCAAAACTCTGTCCACAAATTCCATAAAACTTGTACTAAGTTCATCATCGCTTTTTGGTTTATCATGCTGATAGTCCGAGTCATCAAACTCAAGATTTGTTACATACGCAAACAAATAACGCCATTTTTTGGAGAGGACCGACGTAGAAGCTGCTTCTTTTGTGGGAAGGAAAGACAAGATGTGGGATACTAGAGGATTAGGTAGACTGCTGATTATATCTCTTGAGACAAAATCCATCTTTTACTAACAAAAGATCAACACTTTCAACCTAAACAATTAGAAAACAACAGGGTTTTAAGAACGGAACTCAAAACACGACATTCTCAAACTAGAAAACAAAACAGTTCCAAGGTCTTGTCTTTTTTTACACAATTGCAACGTTCCCAACGGGAAACAGAGAAAGCTAAGTGCTGGAGTAGAATTAAAGGCAGACAATGCTTGTGAACAAGAATCAGAAGAAGAAATGAGGAAACTTACTTGGATCCATCAAAATCACCAGATTCGGAGGTTTGTGGTGAAAGAAGAGCTGAAAATGAAAATTAGGGTTTTTGCCGTCAGTTAGATAGCAATGTGGCGGGATGGGTGAATTCCAATGCTAGATCCCTTAAACGACGCCGTATTAGTGGTGAATGAAGTTTCCATTAAACGACGTCGTATTAATGGTGAATGAAGTTCTACCAAAAAATTGCTCGCTTATACTATTTTTTTGTTTCTTTCGCTGCTCGAGTAAATTATATACAAGTCAATCCTGAATTTACTCCTATTTTATGCTATTATCATAATCTTTGTTTTCGTTATTTTTATCTTTATTTCTTTTTATTAATTTGAGGAATATATCTTGAACTGTGAAGCCTGACCAAAAAAATGTGTAAACAATGTGAACAAAAAAAGTAGAATGCATATTAAGAAGCTGAAACAGCAAGACAAAAGTCTTTGAACAACAAAAACAAAAGAAGCTTGCTTAGAGTTTTAGCAAACTTTACAAAAACTTTCTTCTAGGCAAGAGAAATCCCAAGGTTAACGCATATCACCAACACGAATAACCACAAAATACATATTGGGAAGCTGAAAGAGCAGAGACAAGACTAGAACTAACAACTAATTGTTTTCTGAACTTCTCTGGAGATGAAGCATGCTGATCATTAAACCGGGAAGGTGTCTTTGAAGAAGTTGAGCCCACATGTCAATGAGGAAGAGTGCACAGTAAATGAGTAGCTGATGTTATCAGAGATTACTTGGATCTTGCATTTGGTTGAGGCTACTTTTTCAAGCATCTGAAGTTGGGTTGATACTATTTTCAGATCATCATCAAATGTAGTGTCATAGTATAATATCACTTGTTCAAGATTCGGCATTGACTCCAAAAAGTGCTCAATGAGATCCGTCTGCCTCTCCATGTCATCTTTATAACTAGAGATTTGTCCAAACTTCAATACCTTTAGTATCTTCACTGGGCTTGATGATAGCCAAACCGGAGTGCCATACCAAGGTTTGCACTGACATGTGTCACCTTGATCGCCATAACATTCGTTTGTGTCCTTGAAGCTGTAATCCTTGTCAAAACATTGATTTAAATCTCCGTAATGGAGTCCCTGAAGTATAACAAAGGAAAAAGTTTCTCAGAATTGAAGTGTTTGAAAATAAATGTGTCAGCTGATGCAAGAAAAGGATATGTGATGATACTTCGAAGACGAGGGTTTCTAGATTTGGACAATTCTTGAGTAGAATCGGCAATGATTCCCAGTCCACTCTTTCGTCAGTCTCAACTGTTAAATGAATCAGGTTGTTGAAGACTGGTATTGCTTTTTTACAGCAAAAAGTAAGGACCTGAAAGAAAGAAAAAAAGATCATTATTCATATGCAATCATATACTCAAATATACCTGCTGAAACTAAAACTGGTTCGAAAATAGGCCTCAGTCACAGGTTTAATTCTTAAAACATACCAAACTGAAACAAGGGAATTTGGGTTCTAGCTTATAAAAATATGAAGATATAGATGGGATTCATATGCAAACCTCAAGAGCCTCGGACGATAAGTACATGGTTTTAACATTGCATATTCCCATCATAAAATCTGCTGCATTTGCGCCCTTACATCTTTTATAACCATGATGACTATTTACTAAATCTCTTGCGTGAAAGACCTGATCAGGTGTCATTCGAAGGCCTACGCTAGCTTCAACAAGCGAATCAAAATTCACTTTTGGATACTTGACTGCAACAGTATCAGTAAATTCTAAATAGAGAAGATTTGGAGTATCAAAGGATACACTCTTTGGATTCTCATCAATGTTCTCACAATCAATTGTTACTCTCTTGAGGAATGGGTTGGACACCGAGCAAAATTCCCAGTAATCCCACATCATTTTAATCATAACTAGCTCCTCAAGGGCGTCACAAGCAGAAATCAGCTTGGCAAATGGAGGACCACCCTCATCACCGAACGAAATAGCAGTCAAATGCAAAGTCTTAAGCTTTGGTAGAAAAACCTCACCAACATCAACGGTGAACTCATCTGTTCCTGCTAATTTCAGCCTAACCAATGTCTTGGTCATCAAGACCTCTGGAGGCAGCGGATATTCGTATTCCGAAGCGATGTACAGATCAAGCTCTACTACACCACGCTCCAACACTTTGAGTACCCAACCATTGACACGAGATGGATCAGAACCAATTTTACACCTTAAAGAGAATTTTTTTAACGGAGCATTCCCTTGCAAAGCCAGTACTCTATCCACAAAAAGCTTGAAACTTTTACGCATCTCTAGCCTTTTTCGTCTACCCATTTTAGGACGGTCATAGATCATGTTATCTAAATCGAGAGTTGGTACAAAAGCCAACAGATACCTCCACCTTTTTGCGAGAACTGATGTCGAAGCAGCTTCTGTCGTGGGAAGGAAGGACAGGACGTGACCAAGAAGGGCGTCTGGTAGATTGCTTATAATATCTTTGGAACCGATGTCCATCTTTTTCGAATTCATTATTACCTGAACGATGATGTGAGCTTGTCGCGTCAGTTATTCAAATTCAATCTGAGGATTTTCAGAAGCTAAACGCAAAAACAAAAGAACTGGAAAAGAAAGCACAAAAATTACAAAATCAGAAGACGAAATTGGGAACTTACTCGGAAAAGAAAGAAGAACCTTTCCGATATTGAATGCTAGAGAGGGAAGCGGAAGAGTAAATTAGGGTTCATGCAATCGTCGCCGAGAGTGAAGTAGCAATGGCGGGATGGGGGAGTCCCGATGCTGTTATTAATCTAACAAAACCACCATTTTTGCTAATTTTGCTCCCATCTTTTTTAAATGGGCTATGATCTGTTGCAAACTCTGGGCCTGAGTTTACTTGAAACTTGCATTTGGGTGAGGCTACTTTTTCAAGCATCTGAAATTCGGTTGATACTAAGATCAGCGTCAATTGGGAGTATCGTAGGACAATATCGCGTGTTCAAGATTGAATTCAGCCTTTTCGCACACTATACAAAACTTTGTAGCCAATACACATTAAATGGCTTCCCAATTGGCAAAAGATTGCATATGAGAGATTCAAAAGGACTTGTGATACATACCATAAAGTTTACAACTTAGAGGCATATGATAAAAACATATTATCTACGAACCTAATGAAAGGGCACAAGACACAAAATAACAGAACAGAAACCAAACTACATATCGTCATTGTTGTTTTAAGCTAAAACTAACATCCAAAGCTTTGCTAATCTTCTCTGAGATGGAAAGAAGAATAATCCTTAAACCGGAAAGGTGTTGTTAAAGAAGACGAGCCCACTTGCTGATGAGGAAGAGTGCACAGTAGATGAGAAGCTGATGTTATCAGAGATTACTTGACTCTTGCATTTGGGTGAGGCTACTTTTTCAAGCATCTGAAGTTCAGTTGATAATACACTCAGATCATCATCAAATGGAGTATCGAAGTATAATATCACTTGTTCGAGATTCGGCATTTTCTCCAAGAAGTACTTAATCACCTCCGTCTGCCTATCGATGTCATCTTTGTAACTATAGACTTCTCCAAACTTCAATACCTCTATATTCTTCACCGGACTTGATGATAGACAGATAGGAGTCCCTTCCCAAGGTTTGCACACACACCTGTCTGCATCCTCAAAACATTTGTTTGTGTCTTTGAAGCGGTATCTCTCGTCCCAACATTGATTTGTATCTCTGTAATGAAGTCCCTGAAGTATAATAAAGGAAATGGATTTTCAGAATTTACATGTGTTTGGAAATAATGTGGCAGCTGATGAAGGAAAAGGATATGTGATGGTACTTTGAAGATGATGGTTTCTAAATTTGGACAATTCTCGAGTAGATTCGGCAATGATTCCCATCCGACATCTTCGTCAGTCTCAATAGTTAAATGAGTCAAGTTTTTGAAGAGCGGTACTTCTTTGCAACAGAAATTAAGTACCTGCAACAAAAACCAAATCAACTTCATCATCACTCGATTGCAATAATTAACTCAATATACATGATGGAACTAAACATGGTTCGAAAATAGGCCTAAGATTGAGGTCGAGATTGTTTGCCTTCGTTTACTTCGGAGCAATAAAAATAGGAAGATAGAGATGGGATTGATATGCAAACCTCAAGAGTGTGAGATGATAAGTAAAGGATCTTAACATTGCTAATTCCCATAAGAAAATCTGATGCATTCCCCACCATTTCTTCTTCCAAACCATCTACTGAATTTCTTGCCTTAGTGATCTGATAAGGTGTCAGTCGAAGACCGAGCCTGGCTTCAACAAGTGAATCCAAATTCACTTTTGGATACTTGATCGCAACAACATCAGTAAATTCTAAGTATACAAGATTTGGAGTATCAAATGATACACTCTGTGGATAATAATCAATTGTCTCACAACAAATTGTTACTCTCTTGAGGGTTGGGTTAGACACAGAGCAAACGTCCAAAAGTCCCCACATCAAATTAATCATAACTAACTCCTCAAGCACAGGACAACCAGAAATTAGCTTGGCACACGCAATACCACTCTCTTCAAAACAAACGAAACCATGAAGATACAAAGTCTTAAGCTTCGGAAGAAGAACTTCTTGAACATCAATGATGAACTCATCTTTACTTCCTAGTTTCAGCCTAACCAATGTCTTGTTCATGAAGACCTTTGACGGCAGGTAATAATCACTTTCCGAAGAGATGTGTAGATCAAGATCTAGAACACTACGATCCAATACATTGAAAATCCAACCATCAACACAAGCTGAATCACAGCGAACTTTACACTTAAGAGAGAATCTGTTTTACATAGCATTCCCTTGCAAAGCCATTAATCTATTCACAAAAACCTTAAAACTTTTATGTATCCATTGCCTTCTTCGTTTAGCCACTTTACGATGCTTGAAGACCGAGCTATCTAAATCCAGATTTGGTACAAAAGCCAACAAAAAGCGCCACCTTTTGGAGAGAAGTGAAGTCAAAGCAGCATCCTTTGTGGAAAGGAAAGACAAAATGTGGCAAAGAAGAGCATCCGGGAGACTGTTGATCAAATCTTTGGAACCTGTATCCATCTTTTTCGAATTCATCAATACCTGGACGATGATGTGAGCTTGCGTCAGTAATTCAATCAGAGTTTTTATCAGAAGCTAGACTCAAAACGACAACAAATGCAAAGTTCTCAATGGTAAACCAGTTTCAAGGGTCTGTGTTTCGGAAAAATGAGAGAGGTCACAGTATGAGATAAACAAAGGTAAAGAATCAAACAGGAACCCACAAAAGCACAAAATTACATGAAGAAATGGGAAACTTACTCGGGAATAAAAGCAGAATCTGAGAACTTCCACCACCAAGTATTCAGATGTTGAATGCTAGATAGGGAATTGGAAGAGTAAATTAGGGTTCATGCAAATCGTCGCCGAGAGTGAAGTAGTCATGTGGCGAGATGGGTGATTGTAAATTAATCTAACTAAAACCATTGTTACACTAATTTTGTTTTTTCTTCGGCTAATGAATGAATTCATTAATATTTTTTTAATGGGCCGCAGACTCTGGGCCTGAATTTATCTGTTTGTCTGCATGGGCTATGATTACTCTTAATTTAATGGATTTAAAATAAATAAATAAAAACTAAAAAAGTCAGAAAATCAAATAGAGACAGAGAAGAAAAAAAACAAGACCACTCTGTGTGCTATTCTTCAAGAGTCGAGATCTAGTCATCTATTTCAGATTTTTTGTAGAAGAGATAAAGACTGCTGAATTCTTTTGCAAAGTAACTACTATGACAAGTTCGGTCTCATGTTTACATTTCCTTTCCCAGGAACACTTAACACAACATTAAGAACTGAAACAAAAAGTTAACATTGTCAGCCAAAAAGGACAAAGCCTAAAAAAACACACGTCTTTAGAACAAAATAAGGCCGAACGAAACAAGAGAAGATAATTTTAGCAACTACAAGCTGTACTCCCATAGCTTTGCTAATCTTCTCTAAGATAAAAAAAAAAGGAGGATAATCTTTAAACGGCAAGGGGACTCCTCGAGAAGAGGAGACCATTTGTTGATATGGTGGATGACAAGCTGAGGTTATCAGAGATCACTTGTACGATGCACTTCGATGAAGCTACTTTGGAAACTAGCCTCTCAAGTTGTCTTGAAGCTCAATCACATCTTCATCAATTGGTGTATTGTAGTACAATATCATTTGTTCAAGATTTGGCATTGTCTCCAAGAAATGCTTGATCTGCTCTCTCTGCTTCTCCATGTCATCATAGTAATCACCAATTTCACCAAATTTCTGTATCTTTAGAACCTTCACCGGGCTTGAAGATAGGCAACTAGGAATCCCCTCCTCACAAGGTTTGCACAAGCACACGTCTCCACATCTATTCATGGCTTTGTGGAGTAGTCCCTGAAACATAGTGGAAACATCTCAAACTTTGAAAAATGAGTCAACAGATGCTTTTAAAGGGTTTGTTTCATACTTGGAAGATAAGGGTTTCTAGATTTGGAGAATTTTTGAGCAAACCCGGCAATGACTGCCATCCTTCTGTCGGATTACTCTCGATAGTTAAATGAGTCAGGTTGTTGAATAGCGGTATGGCTTCACAACTGTAAGTAAGTACCTGAAACAAAACCATATCAACTAGATCACCATCACTCCATTGCAATCACTAACTCAAATCCTTAAGCTATGTTAAAAAAGATTACAGGTGTTGTGTCTTCTTCTAAGTAGCATAAATTAAAAAGACAAGAAGAAAGATGGGAGTAATGAAATACGAACCTGAAGAGTGTTGGCAGACAGAGAAAGGATCTTCACATTGCATATTCCCATTATAAAAGTTGTTGCATTGCCAATCAAATCATTTTCCCCATGACCTTCAGAGTAATGTATCTGTAAATCTGCAAAACTTGCCTCTTCTATAAGATATGTCAAAGCCATCTGCTCCTCTGACATCCGAAGATCGATATGGGCTTCAACAAGTGAATCGAAATTCACTTTTGGATACTTGTCAGCAATAGTATCAGTAAACTTCAAGTAGACAAGATTCGGAGTATCTAATGACACACTCTTTGGATTCTCACCTCTCTCTTCCCAGCAAAACGTTAGCCTCTTGAGAGTTGTGACAGACACAGAGGCAAAATCCCATATAAACCAAGATATATCATTCAGAACTAAATCCTCAAGCATGTGACAACCAGAAAGAAGCTTGGTAAGCCCAACACCATGCTTTTCAAAATGGACTGGGTCAAGATAGAGAGTCTTAAGCTTTGGGAGATGAACATCTTCAACATCAAAGGAGGGGCTATATCCAAATTTTAGTTTCAGCCTGACCAGTGTCTTGCTCAAGCAGATCTTCGAAGAAAGCCGAAACTCTGATTCCAAACCAATGTCTAGATCAAGATTGGATACACCTCGTTCCAACACATTGTCTATCCAAGAATTGATACGAACCGGATCAACACCATCTCTGACCTTTAGAGAGAACTTGTGTATTGGAGAATTGCCTTGCAATGCCAAAACTCTATCCACAAAATCCATAAAACTTGTAGAAATCCTATTCTCTCTTTCATCAATCATTGCCATGAAATCTCTAGGACTAATAGGAATCTTTTTCTCTTTCTCAGGATTCAGATAAACAGAGTCATCGAAATCAAGATTTGGTCTGAAAGCAAAGAGATACCGCCATTTTTTGGAGAGAACAGAAGTAGAAGCAGCTTCTTTAGTGGGAAGGAAAGACAAGATGTGGCAACTAAGAGCCTCTGGTAAACCGCTGATAACATCTCTACAACCACCACGATTCATCTTTTTCAACAACACTGAGTTACAACCTGAAAAACCAAACACACAAGTTCGATTGTATAAGAAATCTGAACAAAAGGATTTGAAAGTTATCAACTTCATCGGTTACTGAGGTCTTTTCCTTTACACAATCAACAATGTTCTAAGATTCCCAACCGAAAAGCTAAGAATCAAATCTACTAGCTTGAGGAAGAATCAGGAGAGCACAAGAACAGATATTGAAACTTACTAGGAGATAAAAGCAAAGGCCACTGAAATCAGTGATTGTAGAAAATGTAAGGTTTGGCAAGACCGCAAGAGAGAAGAAGAAAGAGCGACTTCTTAGGCTATATAGCCTTTTCAGTGTCATGTCGAGTCTAAAAGATTTTGTAAGATATTTTGCATCCCATTAAGAGTTGGACAATTATTATATTTTACAAAGATCTTTGATAACTGTTGTTAACTCATATTAATGCTTACGTTATTATGATTTATGTTTTGATTTGGAAGACTCGAAATGATTTGATAAGATATTTTTCTAATCATTCAAAATATTAATTTATGAGCTCAAATGACTAAACGTTAATTTTGGTGTTAGTAAAACTCTCAGCGTTAAGCTCATTTGTGTATATGAGAATGTTAGAATTTATTACTCCTTGTGAGGAACATGATAAAGAAAAAAAAAAACAGAGATGCTTTGGACGAGAGAGAACAAAGTATAAAATCTGAAGTTATATTTACTCCACAATAGACACTTATATAGATTTCAAACATTATGAAGTGAAGAGGTGTGTCTCCTCCTTCGCGTGACTCTTAAGTCTTACGACAAGTCGACAACTGCCCTTTCTTATTCTATAAATCAGAAAGACAAGTTAGCAACCGTACGACTACTGGACTCTTACACACATATACACATTGATGTTTATACGTAATATACAACCAAACTCAATTATCACTAACAGAGAAAACATGTCTGAACTTAACTGTTGATCAATCAGATAAGTAACCAAGCTATTAAGTTATTTTGATGTCTACTGTACAACCGTCCATATGCTCAATATGAAAGTCATTATCAATCAAAAGTTGTGATCTGATCATAGTTCTCGTAGAATAAAACGACTGGACTGGTAATTTGTTTTTGAAGTTAACTTATCTGGCAAGGTAGGTCTCATGTTTTAGTTTGTTTTTCCCGTGCAACTAGAAATAGCTAACACAGCAATACAAACCACTTTTTAAAAACTTTGATGCTAAAACGAAAGAAGGAAGAACTTGTAATAGTCTTTGTTAGAGGGGTAGAACTGTAAGAGTATCTCCATTAAGAAACTCTTCCTCTCAGTGAGTATCTAAAAAATATAAAAACTAAAAGAGTGAGTTATACAGACACTCTTAAGAAACTATTCCTCCACTTGTCATTTTGTTAATGCTTTAATTTTATTTTTAAAATTAAAATTTAATTATTTATTTAATTTCTATCAAAATAATAACATACTATTGTTAAGATGATGAGGGTATTCTAAAAGAACTTGTTTTGTATTGTAGACACATCCATCTATTTTTTTTTGCTATAACTGTTAATATCATATAAATGAAACTGTTTGGCTATTACAAGAAAAGCCTAGACACATCCATCTATGGTATAACCACATAGTAAGAAACCATAAATGTTCTCCCAAAGAAGAGGACCTCAATTCGTCAATACCGATGTGGGAACGGTCGATCATACGCTCAGGTTACTAGGGATAAGGTGGATCTTGCACTTTGATGAAGCTAACCTACTAAGCATCTGAAGTTGCGATGATACTTTCACATCATAGTATAAAACCAGTTGTTCAAGACGAGGCATTGTTTCCATAAAGTGCTTGACCTTCTCTATTTGCTTTTTTACTTTTTCATCACTAATGAATATCTTTAGCACTTTCACTGAACTTGATGATATAGCAACGTCCTCCTCGGTATCTCTGTGAAGGAGTCCCTGAAACATAAAAAGGAAAGGTTTCAACTTTAAGTTGCATTAATCTTTGTGTAATTGTATGCTTTAAAGGGTTTTAGTTCATACTTGGAAGACGAGAGTTTCAAGATTTGGAGAATTGTTAAGCATCTTTGGTATTGATTTCCAACCAACTTTTGGGTTACTCTCGATGGTTAAATGAGTCAGGTTGTTGAATATCGGTATTTGTTTGCAACAATACGTGAGTACCTGAAACCAAAGTCATCTCATTATAAACTAGATCATCATCATCACTCAGTTGCAATCATTGACTCAAATCCTTATACAAAATAGCATAGAATGAGAAAGATTAGAAGAAAGAAGAGAATGGATTACAAACCTCGAGAGTGTCGGCAGATAAGTAGAGGACCCGAACATTGCGGATTCCAAATATAAAATCTGTTGCATTGCCAACCATACAGTTTTCCTCATTGTCTCTAAGTGTTACCTCTTCTATCTGATCATCTGTCATCCAAATATCGATCTTGGCTTCAACAAGCGAATCAAAATTCACTTTTGGATAATTGTTCGCTATGACTTCAGCATATTCCAAGTAGACAAGATTTGGAGTATCAAAGGACACATTATTTGGATTTTCCTCGTGCATACCGCAAAACTTCATGTTCTCGCAACAAAACGTCAGTCTCTTGAGAGTCGCGACAGAAACAGGGCAAGATGTCCATACACACGACCCTATATGATCGATAACAAGTTCTTCGAGCACGGGACAACCAGAAAGAAGCTTGCTAAACCCAATATCAGTCTCATCAAACACAACTGACCGGAGATAGAGAGTCTTAAGCTTTGGAAGATGAACATGTTTCACATCAATGAAAGGGCCATCTCTAATTTTTATAGTCAGCTTAACCAATGTCTCGCTCAAGAAGATCCTTGAAGGAAGCGGATCAGATGTCCATCCATTCATATCCACGACTAGCTGGAGATCTGATACACCACGTACCAACACCTTGTGTATCCAAGGAACGACACTATCCGGATCAACAGGATCATGACCATCTACCATCTTTAGAGAGAATTTGTCTAGAGGAGAATTGCCTTGCAAATCAAGGATCCTATCCACGAAATCCGGAAAGCTTGTCGAAAGCTTCTTCCTTTTATTGTTGCCATCCAAAAGCACGAAACCCACTAAACCTTTCTCACGTAAAGGATTCTTTACCCGTTTATCCCGATGCAGAAAAACAGAGTCATCAAATTCAAGGTTTGGAACAAAAGCAAGTAGATAACGCCATCTTCTCGAGAGAAGTGATGTTGAAGCAGCTTCTTTTGTAGTGAGGTATGACAAGATATGACAAAGAAGTGCGTCCGGCAAAACGTTGATCATATCTTTAGAAACAGAATCCATGGTTGCACCGTGAAAGTCAGATCGATACTTAGAGCCTAATCAAAAAATAACACAAAGATTCCAGATTTCTATGGAAACTTACCTTATCGAATCCCACGTAAATCGCTCAACGATTGAGAGATTCGAACAACCGACTTCAGAAATTAGCTTGCGGGATAATTGAAATTTTAGGGCTTTGCAATTCTAGAAATTTTGATTTTAGAGCGAAAGGCTTTTTATATTTGTCAGATTTACTCAGCGTGTGATTATAAGTTTAATGTTTAATTGGTTTTTCTTGTCAATATTTCTGTCATTTTAATTTCATTAATAACAAATTTGCACGAGTGGCACGAAATTGTGGATTTTTATTTAACTTTGTGTTAGATATTAAATTAGAAACATGAAAGCAGATTTTGTTACTTAAATCTGATGAACCTTTTCTAAACATTTAATACAATTTCTAAAATTTAGAAATCTTTCTTCCATATTGAATACAATTTTTGTTTTTTTTTTGATAAAGGTCTTTCTTCCATATTGCACAAAACTTTTTTCCAGATGTATATATCATCTATCTTCAAATTAGTTTGTCTTTAACACTGCCATTGAGTAATCTTTGTAATATTTCTTAATAATGCTAGGTAAGAAAATTATTCATCAATGATAGAGTTCTAAACGGCAAGTTATGCGGCAAGTTAGGTCTCATGTTTACTTTTCTTGTCCCTTTTCAACTAAGAACAGATAAAACGACAAAAGGAAATTGAAACAAACAAAACATGAAGTCTCATGAGAAGCTGATGTTATCAGAGATAACTTGAATCCTGCATTTTGGTCAGGCTACTTTTTCAAGCATCTGAAGTTCGGTTGATTCTATACTAAGATCATCATCAAATGGAGTATCGTAGTATACATTGTCGGCCAAAAAATGTAATACAAACACGTAATTAAAAACTTTGATGCTAAACGAAAGAAGGAAGAACCCATAATAGTCCAGGTTAATGTAAAGATCTTTAAGCAACTATAAAGAATTTGTGGGCATATTCATATATGGTGTTGATGTAACCAAAAACTGGAAAAGAATATAAACACGTTCTTAAGAGTTTGATGCTATATATAAACGAAAGAAGGAAGACATATTCATATATATATGGTTTTGATACCAAAAAGTCAGAAACCATAGATGTTCTCCTAAAGAAGAGGACTCTCATATCTTCCGAAGTGGGAACAGTAGATGATACGCTCAAGTTACTAAAGGGATAAGTTGGACCTTGCACTTTGGTGAAGCTAACCTACTAAGCATCAGAAGTTGCGATGACACTTTCATATCTCCGTCAATAGATGAATCATAGTGTAAAACCAGTTGTTCAAGACGAGGCATTGTGACCAAAAAGTGCTTGACCTTCTCTATTTGCTTCTCTATTTTGTCATCACTTATGAATAATATCTTTAGCACTTTCACCGAACTTGATGATAGGCAGGTAGCAACGCCCTCCTCCTCCGTCTCTCTGTGAAGGAGTCCCTGAAACACAAAGAGGAAAGGTTTCAACGTTAAGTTGCATTAATATTTGTGTGTTTAAAGGAAACATGATGCTCTAAAAGGTATGTTTCATACTTGGAAGACTAGAGTTTCAAGCTTTGGAGAATTCTTAAGCAGCTTTTGTAAAGATTTCCATCCAACTTTTGGGTTACTCTTCATAGTTAAATGAGTCAAGTTGTTGAATATAGGTATTTGTTTGCAACAATACGTGAGTACCTGAAACCAAAACCATCTCATGATCAACTAGATGCATGTCATCATCATTCAGATGCAATCATTGTATTAAATCCTTAGACAAAATAGCACAAGAATGAGAAAGATTAGAATTGAATACAAACCTCGAGAGTGTCGGGAGATAAGTAGAGAACCCGAACATTGCAGATTCCAACTATAAAATCTGTTGCATTGCCGACCATATAGTTTTCCTCATTGTCTCTAAATGTCTCTTCTATCTGATCATCTGTCATCCAAATATCGATTTTGGCTTCAACAAGTGAATCAAAATTCACTTTTGGATAATTGTTAGCTATCACTTCAGCATATTCCAAGTAGACAAGATTTGGAGTATCAAAGGACACATTATTTGGATTTTCCTCGTGCATACCGCAAGACTTCAAGTTCTCGCAACAAAACGTCAGTCTCTTGAGAGTCGCGACAGAAACAGGGCAAGATGTCCATACACACGACCCTATATGATCGATAACAAGTTCTTCGAGCATGGGACAACCAGAAAGAAGCTTGCTAAACCCAATATCATTCTCATCAAACACAACTGACCGGAGATAGAGAGTCTTAAGCTTTGGAAGATGAACATGTTTCACATCAATGAAAGGGCCATCTCTAATTTTTATAGTCAGCTTAACCAATGTCTCGCTCAAGAAGATCCTTGAAGGAAGCGGATCAGATGTCCATTCATTCATATCCACGACTAGCTGGAGATCTGATACACCACGTACCAACACCTTGTGTATCCAAGGAACGACACTATCTGGATCAACTGGATCATGATCATCTACCATCTTTAGAGAGAATTTGTGTAGAGGTGAATTGCCTTGCAAATCAAGGATTCTATCCACGAAATCCGGAAAGCTTGTAGAAAGCTTCACCCTTTTATTATCAACAAATAACACGAAACCTTCCTCATCATGTAAAGGATTCTTTACCCTCTTATCAGGATACAGAAAGATGGAGTCATCAAATTCAAGGTTTGTAAGAAAAGCAACTAGGTAACGCCATCGTCTCGAGAGAAGAGATGTTGAAGCAGCTTCTTTTGTAGTGAGGTATGACAAGATGTGACAAAGAAGTTCGTCCGGCAAATCGTTGATCATACCTTTAGAACCAGAATCCATTCTTTTAGAACCTGTATAGAATCCATTCTTAGAGCCTGAGCAAAGAACAAAATGATTCCATATTTCAATAGTTAGGTTCCACACATCATGACTTCTATCGAGATTCGAGATTTCAATGTTTAGGATCGTAAGGTTCCATTAGAATTCTCAACGGAAAACAAGAAAAAATAAAAAAAAATATCAAAGAATCAAACAGTACTATATATGACTATCTAATATACAAAATCACAAAGAAGGATTATGGTAGTTTAATTACTTGTAATCTTTATGCGAATCCGACCAAAATCGCTCAACGATTGAGAGATTAGAACAACCGAATTCAGAAATCTCTTTTGCCGGAGGGAAGCGAAGAATAGAAATTTAGGGCTTTCTCATTGTAGACGAGATCGAGAAATCAACGTGGCAAGGGTTTGTTTTGTAGAGTCTAAAGATTTTTATTTTAGGGCAAAAGGCGTATTTACTGATTAGTGATTTACTTGGCGAGCAAAAATCATTATTATTTGTTTTTTGTAGTTTTTTTTTTTAATCCTCATAGGAATATTACTATTTAACGATTTTTACAAAAATACTATTAAGTTTGTTTTTCTATAAAAAATAAAATACTAATGGCGCGAAATTGTGGATTTTTAACTTGTCCATGTGTTAGATTTTGATCTAGAAACCTTTTATAAACATCATAAACAATTTATAGGAGTCAAAAAACAAAGTTGAAAAAAAATATATAATTTTAGAAATCTTTCTTATATATTCCGGATAAGCTTTACTAAAACAATTGTAAAATGATTCACCAAAAAGAAAACAATTGTAAAATATCACTTATCTTTACATTAGTTTGTCTTTAACATTGCCCTTGAGTAATCTTTGTAATATTCTTCAACTGTACAAAATCTCCCATAATGCTCATTAACCAACTCACATTACCCATCAAGAAACGAGTTTTAATCACAGTTCTTGTAGAAGTAAAGCACTGTGGTATCATTTCTAGATAACTTATATATAGCTATCATGTTTACATATCTTTATCCCCACCCAACCGAACCAATATAATAGATAAAACACAAAAGAACTGAAACAAACAAATCATGAAGTTACCATTGTCATCGGTTAATGCTGCTCGGTGGCTACTGGCTAGCATCATTAGTTTACAAGATTCATCTTAACTAAATTTATGTGATGATCATTCTCTAACACAATATGACTACCATCATTTTAATTAGGTGAAGTAATTGGTGTTACAGAGTATCAGATTATATGATTTACGAATGCAGACTCTGGCTTAGAAGACATTAATTCACTACCAATACAGACTATGATTTACGAATTGTGATGCCAAGTACTAAGATTTGTCTAACAACATTCATTCATATACACAGAACAACTTAGCTTCATTCATATGCGGATCGACAACTAAAAACAATCAAACTTGGGAAATTCAAGCAGTTTCCTTTATGACTTGGATCTCGCTGGCGGATGAAGCTTTGGGAGGAAGCAAAAGATCTTTCATGACGCTACTTCTTTCTCTAAACACCAAAATTAATGTAAATTCTTTCAACGTTAAAGCACATTTTTGTGAGAAAACAAGCTGTCGAGAGATTGACTTAACTGTTGATCAGTTAGATATATACTTCACCAAGATTAAGTTATTTTAATGTATATTTTCTACAGTACAGTCTTCCATATTCTCAATTAGAGAGTGATCCATCAAAAATTTGTGATCAGATCATAGTTTCTCAAGAAAACGAGTGGTGATTTCTTTTTGAAGTAACCTATGGCAAGGTAGGTCTCATGTTTTAGATTTGTTTTTCCCGGTCAACTAGAAATGGTTAACACAAGAATACAAAACAAAAAGATGAAACACACAAAACACGAAAGTTAACATTGTCGGCCAAAACTGGAAAAGAATACAAACACGTTCTTAAAAACTGTGATGCTAAACGAAAGAAGGAAGACATATTCATATATGGTTTTGATATAACCAAAAAGTCAGAAACCATAAATGTTCTCCTAAAGAAGAGGACCTCTCATATCGTCCGAACGAAGTGGGAACAGTAGATGATACGCTCAGGTTACGAAAGGGATAAGTTGGACCTTGCACTTTGGTGAAGCTAAGCTACTAAGCATCAGAAGTTGCGATGACACTTTCATATCTCCGTCAATAGATGAATCATAGTGTAAAACCAGTTGTTCAAGATGTGGCATTGTTTCCAAAAAATGCTTCACCTTCTCTATTTGTTTCTCTATTTTGATGATAGCAACGCCCTCCTCCTCTGTATCTCTATAAAGGAGTCCCTGAAACATAAAGAGGAATGATTTCAACGTTAAGTTGCATTAATCTTGTGTGTTTAAAGGGTTTGTTTTAAACATATGATGCTTTAAAAGGTTTGTTTCATACTTGAAAGACGAGAGTTTCAAGCTTTGGAGAATTCTTAAGCAGCTTTAGTAATGATTTCCATCCAACTTTTGGTTTACTCTGGATAGTTAAATGAGTCAGGTTGTTGAATATCGGTATTTGTTTGCAACAATACGTGAGTACCTGAAACCAAAACCATCTCATAATCAACTAGATCATCATCACTCAGATGCAATCATTGACTCAATTCCTTATACAAAATATCATAGAATGAGAAAGATTAGAAGAAAGATGAGAATGGAATACAAACCTCGAGAGTGTCGGCAGATAAGTAGAGAACCTGAACATTGCGGATTCCAACTATAAAATCTGTTGCGGTGCCAACCATAAAGTTTTTCTCATAATTGTCTCTAAGTGTCACCTCTTCTAGCTGATCATATGTCATCCAAATATCGATTTTGGCTTCAACAAGCGAATCGAAATTTACTTTTGGATAATTGTTCGCTATGACTTCAGCATATTCCAAGTAGACAAGATTTGGAGTATCAAAGGACACATTATTTGGATTTTCCTCGTGCATACTGCAAAACTTCATGTTCTCACAACAAAACGTCAGTCTCTTGAGAGTGGCGACAGAAACAGGGCAAGATGTCCATACACATGACCATATATGATCGAGAACAAGTTCTTCAAGCATGGGACAACCAGAAAGAAGCTTGCTAAACCCAATATCATACTTATCAAACGAAACTGACTCGAGATAGAGAGTCTTAAGTTTTGGAAGATGAACATCTTTCACATCAATGCGAGGACCATCTCTAATCTTTAGAGTCAACTTAACCAGTGTCTCGGTCAAGAATATCTTTGCGGGAAGTGATGACGTCCATTCCTTCAAATCCACGGCTAGATGGAGATCTGATACACCACGTACCAACACCTTGTGTATCCAAAGAATGACACTATCTGGATCAACTGGATCATGACCATCTACCATCTTTAGAGAGAATTTGTGTAGAGGAGAATTGCCTTGCAGATCAAGGATTCTATCCACAAAATCCGGAAAGCTTGTAGAAAGCTTCAGCCTTTTATTATTAACCCAATACACGAAACCCACGAAACCTTGCTCATGTAAAGGATTCTTTACCCTCTTATCAGGATACAGAAAGATGGAGTCATCAAATTCAAGGTTTGGAAGAAGAACAACTAGGTCACGCCATCGTCTCGAGAGAAGAGATGTTGAAGCAGCTTCTTTTGTAGTGAGGTATGACAAAACGTGGCAAAGAAGTGTGTCTGGCAAATCGTTGATCATATCTTTAGAACCAGAATCGATTCTTTTAGAACCTGAAGAATCCATTCTTATAGAGCCTGAACAAAGAACAAAAGGATTCCATATTTCAATATTAAGGTTCCACACATCACTTCTATCGAGATTCGAGATTTCAATGTTTAGAATCGTAAGGTTCCATTAGAATTCTCAACGGAAAACAAAAAAGAATCAAATAATCAAACAGTACTATCTACAAGATCACAAAGAAGGATTATGGAAGTTTTGTAATCTTTATATGCGAATCCGACGAATATCGCTCAACGATTTAGGGCTTTGCCATTGTAGACGAGAGCGAGAAATCAACGTGGCAAGGGTTTGTATTGTAGAGTCTAAAAGATTTTGATTTTAGGGCAAAAGGCGTATTTGGTGATTAGTGATTTACTCGGCGAGCCATACGAATATTACTCCCTCCGTTTCATAATATAAGTCGTTTTGGAGAATTTTTTTTGTTTCACAGCATAAGTCGTTTTCAAGTTCCTAGGCAAATTATATATTATTTTAATATTTTATAATTATTTATATTATGCCGTCTTTTTTATGATTGGCTGAACTTTTTAAAAGTAAATCTTCTTAATCTGCGTGCTTTTAGCTAAAACGACTTATATTATGAAACGGAGGGAATACTATTTAAGGATTTTTATACTAATGAGTTAATGACGATTTAATGAAGACTCAAGAATACGATTTAATGAATACGATTTGCAAAAAAAAAAAGAGAGAAAGAGACACAGAGGTTTGCGAGTTTGAACCACCAGCGAAGTGGCGATAAGTCTCGCTGGTAAAGGTTTACCGGAGCTGGCGGATTACTAACTCGCGCTTAGAAGACATTAATTCACTTAACAATGTCACGATCATTACAGACTATGATTTACTAATTGTGATGCCGAATACTAAGATTTGTCTAACAACTAAAAACAATCAAACTTGGGAAATTCAAGCAGTTTCCTTCATGACTTGGATCTCGCATTCGGATGAAGCTTTGGGAAGAAGCAAAAGATCTTTCATGACGCTACTTCTTTCTCTATCATCCACTGCCTTGTGGTAAACCCTAACCACTTCAAGACGCGATAGATTCCCCAATAAACGCTTCATTTGATTAAGCTCTTGCGAGGTTCCTTTATACCCAGTGATCTCTAAAACCTTCATTGCAGATGATGACAGAGAATCAGACACAGCATCCCATGAAAAGCAGAGACGGCTCATAGGACTCAAACCTTCCCATCCTTCAGCAACATAGTGCACTAGACCCTGCAAAAACATTGGAGAAAATATCATTGTAGATTCAGACTTAGTATACATATAACTTCTTTTGTATAATACCTTGATGGTGAGTGTTTCAATATTAAGAGAGTTGTTGAGCAGAGATGGAAGCAATTTCCAGAAGATGAATGGTGAACCATGAGGTTTATCGCTTCCCAGAGATAACGATATCAAATTGTTGAACACCGGTATCCTGTCACCCCGGTAATAGAGCGCCTGAAACATACAACCAAAATCAACTCTCTTGTACTGACCCACAAAAAAAGCCACACATCTCAAGAAGACTGACCTCTAAAGCATCCGGAGATAAGCAGAGGATCTTGACATTTCTGATCCCCTTGAACAAGGTTGTGATGTCACCAGAAACAAAACCAATGTTATTTGGTTTGCGCATGATTTGATAAGCAGTCAAATGAAGATCAAGCCTAGCTTCAACAAGGCTATCAAATTTCAAATTTTCATACTTATCCGCAACCATATCCGAATAGTCCAAGTAAACAAGACTTGGAGTATCAAACGAAACACAAGGTTTAGGAGCAGAGGAATCATCATCACTTCTATATACAAGACTCTTGAGCGTTCGAGTTGAAGCAGACCCATTCCAAAACTTCCACTTGTTGGATTCATGGACCCGCAGGCTTTGAAGTGAAGGAAAAACTAACAGAATCTGTCTAAACCCAACCTTATCATCATCACGAAACTCAACCAAATCAAGAACAAGAGAATTAAGCGTCGGAGAAACAGCATCTTTAGGAAACTGACCAAGACGGATCATTGTTCCAATTCTAAGGTTTACCAAAGTCTTGCTCCTAAAGACATTAAATGGCAAATGAAAGATTCCAAAATCGATGCATAGAGAAAGATCTAAGACACCAAGATCCCTTACTGTTGTTAGTATCCACTTGATTATACAATCTGGTGCAACACCTCCTTGACGACACTTGAGAGAGACTCTTTGAACAGGTGATGAAGTCTCGACTCGTTGAGAGAGTAACCTATCCACGAAAGCCTTGAAAAAAACATTTTTTCGTTGACCCTTTTGCGGATTCAGTAACACGGAATCGTCGAAAACAAGAATAGGTATCGATAGAAGTAGATTGGACCAGCGCTTTGAGAGTATCGATGTTAAAGCAGCCTCTTTTGTTGAAAGGTATGACAAGATACGGCAGAGAAGATCATCAGGTAAATTGCTAATAACATCTCCATAACTAGGTTTCGCTTTTTTGTTAGCTTCCATAAAAGATTAGGGCTTTCGAAAAATGGAAACGAGAAACACCGAGAAGTTGACAATTGGATCTGATCAGAGAATTCGCATGTCTTTGGAAAGAGGAGAAAAGACGATGAACATTTCAGTATTTCTCGGTTTAGACCGGTTTATGATTTAACCCGCTTCCGTCTTCTCAGAAGTTACAGTGGAATTGGTCTAAATCCGTTTCTTTGGGCCTATAAGCCTAATGGATCTTTCAACAAAAATACCCAAAAGGCCTAAATATTAATAAACAACAATAAGCGAAAAAATATACAAAATTACAACAAAAAATCAAAGCCAAAAAATGGACCTGAAAATCCAAAAAGCAAAACTGAAATAAAGGAAGGATAAATTAATAAAGTCAAAAGTGACGTAGCAAATGACGCTGTAAAAGAAACAGCCAAATAAATTTTTAACTTTTTTTTTTCTTCAAGTAGTGGTAACCAGAAATTTGTCACTTTGCGTAGTCGACAGCAAAGTACACTTTCTTGGAAAAGCTCAAAGCCATCTCGTCCGCTGCTTTTTTTGTTTCCATTCTTGTCATAATAATGCAAATTGCAAATCGTTCAATTTATTTCTAACTGAAAATAAAAGTGCTAAAGGATTTGCTGATGTTTTCAAAACCATTATTCCATAATTATCTAACACTGTAACTATATATTTCGCCTCATATAATTTGGAGATTTGAATTAACGTGTTTATAAGATTCCGGTTTAAATTTGATCGGACCTTTAATTAGATCAAATGGTCAATAATACGTGCACATGCAAAGTTACAAAAATACAAATGATATCATTGAATATTTGACGAATTTTTGTCCTACGTTCCTAAGATCTATCCTCTCATCAGATTTCAGATTCTTGAACACGTACGTCAAAGTTTTCAGTCAAAGATAAATATATTATGTGGAGTTTACATGAGATATATATATATAAGAGACGGAGTGGAACTTGAATACAATCATGACGATATAAAAAGTTTCAAAAGCCAAAACGAACGACGTGAGCCATGACGATACTAACTAAACTATACACACGACACATATTATCCATAATAAATTAAACGGTACTGTAACCCACTGTAATTAAATTTAGAAGGAACATGGACTAGACATTTCTTCATATTTTAATTGAAATGAAGACCGTAAAATAAAGTAAAAAGTTTTGTCCAAAAATGTAAATAAAAGTAGAAGCTAAGTGAGTTCTAAAGGTAAACAATTTCTTAAACATTGCACGATAACTCTCTTGGTTACTTTAGGTTGAGCAGGTGATTCAGTAATTTATTACTTCTTTTCATGAAATTCATATGACTCATAAGGAGGATTAATGTCTGGCTTATTGAGTTTTTTTTTTTTATTTGTTCACGTGATGTGAGCCTCTAAATTTTGTTTTTTCTAAAGTATGTTTCGTCCATTCTAAGATCTCACAGGTTTAAATAATATTCAAAGTTCTAATGAACTGGCCAATGGAATTATATGATTTATACATGGAGTTTTTTGTTTTAATGGAGTGCTATATATATTTTTAAAATTAAACAAACGGTAATAATAAGTTGGAATCACACAAGCAAGTCGGTGATCTCATTTCTATGTTTTTTTCCTACCAAATCTAGAATATGATCTCTAGGTAGTCTTTCAAAAATAGTATTGGAATGCCACTATATGCCACATATAAAAATAAAATAAAAAAACATAACCAAACGCTGATTAACAACAACTGTGTGTAAAACACTTTTTCTCTATTTAAATTACTTTGGCCATTAATATTCAAAACTAAACACAAAAACAAACTAAAATCAAATTTAACACTTCACCTTGGACTTTGGCCCTCTGCGACCATACATTTATCATAACAAAAAGAGTACTGTTTTTTTTCCACTAAATTTAATCATTACTAGTCACCAACGCAGTCCCTGCGAAGACATCATAAAAAGAAGTCACCAACGAAAATCTATGGTTGGGAAAAAACGACGGAAAGTAGATTCTTTAAATTAATAAAATGGTCGGGAAAAAATATATTTTGTGAAGAAGTTTTATAGTTCGATTTGGATCCGACTTCTGTGGGAGTCACTGTCACACTGTCACGTGTTAGAATACGATGCTTACATATAATGCGATTGAGGTCCCAAGACAATCATATAACGCGAATCTGAATTTATATAAGTATATCCAATTAATTACATAATGTACTAGATTTTAACCTGTGGTGTACCGCGGGGCTATATTTTCTTAAAAAAATCAAAATGTAATTTGTTTGATAGATTATTTTGATTGTTAATTTTAGGATTTCACCCGTGGTATACGATCTTTTATAAATATCAACCCAAACCCGTCCCATCATATTATCCGTCCCGTGAAATTAAACATTATTTAGTTATTTTTCTTTTTAATAATACTTTTATTTAAAAGCTATATAATTCAAGTCAATTTAAAAATTTCTTTTAAATGGTTCCCATAAGATATATATACATATATATTAAATTTGTATAGAGTTGAAATAATATTAATATTACAAATTTTTTATATAATTTAAATATTATAAATATTTTTAAAAATATGTAATATATATTTTTTGTTATTGAATAAGAGGATATTATGTGTAAGAAATGTAGAAAATAAGAGTTTAATATTTTTATTATGGAGTCGCAAAAAAATCTTTTATTTCTATACATGTTATTCATTTATTAATAATAAAAGAAAACAAATCCTTTAAATTAGATATTAACTAAAATAAACGCACCATAATTACTTATTAAGTAACAACCAATAAATTTCACCAAAAAATAGGTAACAACCAATAAATTCTAAACGCAGTAATTAAAGAATGAGATATTAAAAAAAAAATATCAAATAAGATATAAGAATCTTAAAATAATTGAACATCTAAATAATTTAATTGTTAGTGTCGATTTTAATGCCTTCATTAATGTGGATTTTTTTTTTTACAGAGAAATATTTCCTAAATATTATCACATTAATGACTCAGAAAATTAAGGAAGATATGAATTTATGATTCTCGAAATCGTATTGGTAATATCTTTAAGTAATATTTTTCAAATTTAAATAATTAATGCCAATGGCATTCATCCGTAAATAAGGTCCAACTCCAGGATTTATTTGCTAAAAGTCATTCAAAAATGTATATATAGATTGTTGCTTTCTTACTTTATGCCTTCATTTTATATATAAATGCGAATTGAGATGCCAACAAGAACATATCGCCAATCATGTTAAAGAAAACAAAACATTTCGCCAATCTCTAATTTATTCACTTTACAGTAGAATAAAAGAATAACGATCTATATCCACATCATTTTTTATACTGAAGACTAAACCACCCACATTTTCAAATTCTCTGTGTTAAACTCCACAAACTAGTAAGCGTTAGATTTTGAACAGTTTTAGTTAAAATTTAAACTCTACTTTTAACTCAGTTTGGGATTATTTGAACTACCTCTCATTAAATATGAATTATCTTGTGAGCAAAGCTTAATTTTTTTTTTAAAAAATTTATATTTGTAAAAATGTATAGTCAAATACCAAAATAAAGCATTTAATAGTAACTGATGCAGATCATTTATTTATATATACATATTTTGGGTCATTTTATAATTACTTTTCTCATTTGTTATAATTTTTTTATATGACCATTTACTGTGAAAAATTGACCGGCCTAACAATTAACAGGCTAACAGCTGAGAGATATTATTCGAAATAGACGGGACAAAGGCAAATGAGTCATCTCTATATATTTTGCATCTCGTACTAAATGAAATGTAAAAAAGTAAAAGTCTTCAAATTTTGTTTTTGACGTAAAAGAGTTTTAAGTACATGGACAACCTACTCTATTAGATAATCACACATTCACGCTTAGCTTCTAAAGGGAAACAAAAGAAGACAAATACAACCAATATTATTCAGGAAAAAACAAAAAATAATCACATCATTCATGCTTCCACTAAAATAAATATTAATCTCTGTTTTATAGATATAACCCAATCATGTGTTGTTGTAAGACTTGTGCTCTTTGAGAGTAGACACTGTTTATTTGTCTTTTCTTTCTGTTTTGATAGAGAGACTATAGAGGAGTGTCAGAGTGTTAAGTGAAATCTATAAAATAATATTAATATTACTATATGGTAAAGTGATAAATCCTCCAAAAAAAAATTAGAGAAAACATCAAATCAACTAATGAAGAGTTTGATTGGTAACCAAAGTACAATTTTTTTAGCTGCTAGCTTTACCGGAATAATGCAAAACTGTATGTAAGAGCTGTACGAAAAAGCTGTACAAAAAAGCTGAGAATAAAACTTTTAGTAACGCTTTTGATAAAGTTTTTGTGATTGGTAAAAATAAAAGCTGTACAACTTGTAATACTTCACAAATCAAACCCGAAATAATTCTGGTTAAGAGAATCCAAATAAAACAATATTTTCCCTATATACATAAATTTGAGTTCTGCGGTATCCAAATTATTAATTAAATGCTTTAACCATAAAAAGCAGAGAAGTTGAGAGTAACCAAATTCTTCTTTTTCTTCTTCTTCTTCTTCTCTTTCTCTCGAATCGATCTTTCGTTTCCCGCTTTTGCATATATTTTTTTCAGTCTATTTTTTTCCCTTCTTCTTTCTTGTTTGCATGCCCGAAAATTTAGACGAGAAAATAGGAGAAGTGAGTACCAAAATTTTCCTGAAAATTTGTTTTTTTTTTCTCTCAAGGAGAAGAGAAACCAGAAAAAATAATGATAGAAAATTTTTGGACTTGGTTCTGCGGGAATCACCACACATCAAACTGCACTCTTGGATTTCTGCAGATATGTTTCGGTATCACACTCTCATTCCTAACTCTCTGTATTTGCTTCTTTCACAAGGAATCTCCCAAAAGGATTCATCGATTCTTTTGTCTGCGAATAGTGTCTGCTGTGTTCAACGGAATCATCGGATCTCTAGATTTGGTTTTAGGGATTTGGGTTTTACGAGAGCACTCCAATAAGCCCTTAATCCTCTGGCTTGTGATTCTGATTCAAGGGTTTACATGGCTCTTGATTAACTTAGTTATTTGCATTAGAGGAGCAAGAATTCGAAAATCATCGTTGAGATTGTTATCTATCTTCTCCTTCTTTTATGGTCTGGTCTCAAGTTGTTTATCTGTGAACAATGCTGTTTTTGGAGAAGAATTAGCAGTTAGGACGATTCTTGATGTTTTGTTACTGCCTGGGTCAGTTTTATTACTCTTAAGTGCTTATAAAGGCTATCGATTTGATGAATCTGGTGAGAGTGGTTTGAATGAGCCTCTTAATGTTGGTGATTCAAGTGGGAACAACGAAAAAGCCGATTCTGATAATCGGGTTAGCCAGTTTGCTGTAGCTGGGTTGTTCAGTAAGTTATCATTCTGGTGGTTGAATTCTTTGATAAAGAGAGGAAATGTGAAAGACTTGGAGGAAGAAGATATACCCGAGCTTCGCGAGGAAGAGCGTGCAGAGACGTGTTATTCCTTGTTCAAGGAGAATCTCAATGAGCAGAAGAGAAGATTAGGGAGTTCTTGTCAGCCTTCGATCTTGAAAGTGACTGTTCTTTGTGTGTGGAGAGATCTTTTGACCTCTGGTTGCTTTGCTTTTCTGAAGATCGTTGCTGTTTCAGCTGGTCCTTTGCTTCTGAATGCTTTCATTTTGGTTGCTGAAGGCAATGAAAGCTTTAGATATGAAGGGCTTGTGTTGGCTGTGTTGCTGTTCTTCTCAAAGATGATAGAGTCTTTGTCTCAGAGACAATGGTACTTCAGATGTAGAATTGTCGGTTTACGCGTGAGGTCTCTACTAACTGCAGCTATAAACAAGAAACAACTGAGATTGAATAACTCTTCAAGATTGATCCATTCAGGCAGCGAGATTATGAACTACGCGACTGTTGACGCTTACAGAATTGGGGAGTTTCCATACTGGTTTCACCAGCTTTGGACAACAAGCTTTCAGCTACTAATCGCGCTTGGGATTCTCTTTCATTCTGTGGGAGTTGCTACGTTTTCAGCTCTAGCTGTGATAATACTTACTGTTCTATGCAATGCTCCTATCGCGAAACTTCAGAACAAGTTCCAAAGCGAACTCATGACCTCTCAAGACGAGCGGCTTAAGGCCTGCAATGAGTCTCTTGTCAACATGAAGGTCTTGAAGCTCTATGCGTGGGAATCACATTTCAAGAAGGTTATCGAGAAGCTACGGAACATAGAGTTGAAATCTTTGAAGGCGGTTCAATGAGAAAGGCTTACAATGCGGTTCTGTTTTGGTCATCACCGGTGTTTGTCTCTGCTGCAACTTTTGCCACATGTTATTTCCTAGGCATTCCATTGAGAGCAAGTAATGTTTTCACTTTTGTGGCAACACTACGTCTGGTCCAAGATCCAGTAAGAATGATCCCTGATGTTATCGGAGTGACAATTCAGGCTAAAGTTGCCTTCAGTCGTATTGCAACATTTTTAGAAGCTCCTGAGCTTCAAGGTGGGGAGAGGCGGAGAAAACAGAGATCCGAAGGCGATCAGAACGCGATTGTTATTAAATCTGCGAGCTTTTCTTGGGAGGAGAAAGGTTTAACAAAACCAAACTTGAGAAATGTGAGTCTTGAGGTTAAGTTTGGTGAGAAAGTGGCTGTTTGTGGTGAAGTTGGCTCTGGCAAGTCAACACTATTAGCTGCTATTCTCGGTGAAACTCCATGTGTCTCAGGAACAGTAAGTCCTCTTAGCTTTAGATATTAACAACTTCATATATTCAAAAATTATGTTTCTGATCATCTTGATTTGAATTATCCAACAGATCGATTTTTATGGTACCATCGCCTATGTATCCCAAACAGCATGGATCCAAACAGGGACAATAAGAGATAACATACTATTTGGAGGTGTGATAGATGAACAACGTTACCGTGAGACAATTCAAAAGTCTAGCCTAGACAAATATCTTGAGATCTTGCCTGATGGAGACCAGACTGAGATTGGTGAAAGAGGTGTGAATCTTAGTGGAGGACAGAAACAGAGGATTCAACTCGCTCGTGCGCTATACCAAGATGCAGATATTTATCTCCTTGATGATCCATTCAGTGCTGTTGATGCACACACTGCTTCTAGTTTGTTCCAAGTAAGTACATACTAAAGCAGAAACCTCACATTGTCATTTTCTTGGAAATGTTGAAACTAATGTGCATGAATTCAGGAATACGTTATGGACGCTCTCGCGGGAAAAGCTGTGTTGTTGGTTACACATCAAGTGGATTTCTTGCCTGCTTTTGATTCTGTTTTGGTAATTTGATCTTGAAATCAGAATTGATTCTCTTCGTTTTATGTTTCTTGATCAGTTTTTGTCTTGGTTGCTTACAGTACTTGTTTCTCTAGTTGATGTCAGATGGAGAAATCACTGAAGCCGATACATATCAAGAACTCCTAGCTAGAAGCAGAGACTTTCAAGATCTCGTGAACGCTCACAGAGAAACCGCTGGATCAGAAAGAGTGTTTGCGGTAGACAACCCCAGCAAACCGGTCAAGGAAATCAACAGAGTCCTTTCGTCCCAATCCAAGGTCTTGAAACCGAGTCGTTTGATCAAACAGGAAGAGCGAGAAAAGGGAGACACGGGGTTGAGACCGTACATACAGTACATGAATCAGAACAAAGGTTACATATTCTTCTTCATCGCGAGCTTAGCTCAGGTCATGTTTGCAATTGGACAGATTCTTCAGAACTCTTGGATGGCTGCAAACGTAGATAACCCTCAAGTTAGCACTTTGAAGTTGATCTTGGTCTACTTATTGATTGGGTTGTCCTCAGTTCTCTGCTTGATGGTTAGATCTGTCTGTGTCGTGATTATGTGCATGAAGTCATCAGCTTCATTGTTTTCTCAGCTTCTTAACTCTCTTTTTAGAGCGCCTATGTCATTTTATGACTCCACACCTCTTGGAAGGATTCTTAGCAGGGTAAATGCTGATGAACTTGATGAATGTTTATTATGTTTATTGTCTTGTTCAATCTTTAACTGTAATTTCTTTGGATTTACAGGTCTCATCTGACTTGAGCATTGTAGATCTTGACGTTCCTTTCGGTCTGATCTTTGTGGTGGCGTCTACGGTAAACACAGGTTGTAGTCTTGGAGTGTTAGCTATTGTTACTTGGCAAGTCTTGTTTGTATCTGTTCCCATGGTTTATCTAGCTTTTCGTTTACAGGTCAGATTCTTTTTCTTAATTTCCTCTTAATAGATCTTGTGTTCTATGTAGTAACCAAAGAGTAAGAGTTTCTGTTTTGTTTTACAGAAGTACTACTTCCAAACAGCGAAAGAGTTGATGCGGATCAATGGCACGACAAGATCTTATGTGGCGAATCATTTAGCAGAATCAGTAGCAGGAGCAATAACAATAAGAGCATTTGATGAAGAAGAGAGGTTTTTCAAGAAAAGTCTCACACTTATTGATACAAACGCCAGTCCTTTCTTCCATAGCTTTGCAGCTAACGAATGGCTGATCCAGCGGCTTGAAACCGTCAGCGCCATTGTTCTTGCCTCCACTGCTTTCTGCATGGTTTTGCTTCCTACAGGAACATTTAGCTCTGGTGAGTCATCACCAAAAATACAAGTTCCTTGAGATGTGATTCACCGTTTTGCTTATTAATGGTGTTTGTTTCTTGTGTCAGGGTTCATCGGTATGGCTCTATCTTACGGTTTATCATTAAACCTGGGACTTGTTTACTCCGTACAGAACCAATGCTACTTAGCTAACTGGATCATTTCGGTTGAAAGACTTAATCAGTACACACATTTAACACCTGAGGCTCCTGAAGTAATAGAAGAGACCCGACCACCGGTTAATTGGCCGGTTACAGGCCGTGTCGAAATCTCTGATTTGCAGGTAAGTTTGATTGAGACATTTTCACTCCCTAGTTTAAAAAAAGAGAGTTTCTTAATCTTATAATGTTCATATATCCAGATAAGATACAGAAGAGAATCCCCATTGGTTCTAAAAGGAATCAGCTGCACATTTGAAGGAGGAAACAAGATTGGAATTGTTGGCCGGACCGGTAGTGGAAAGACAACTCTGATCAGTGCTTTGTTCAGACTTGTTGAGCCTGTTGGAGGAAAGATTGTCGTTGACGGTGTTGACATCTCCAAGATTGGAGTTCATGATCTGAGATCAAGGTTTGGGATTATACCTCAGGATCCAACTCTGTTCAATGGAACAGTGAGATTTAATCTGGATCCTTTGTGTCAGCATTCAGATGCTGAGATTTGGGAGGTACGTTTAACTAAAAAACACATTTGAAAAAAACTATGAATCTGATAAAGAAGTTGAGATTAAACAAAAAGCCATTTTTTTTAAATGCAGGTTCTTGGAAAGTGTCAACTAAAAGAAGTGGTTCAAGAAAAAGAGAACGGTTTAGATTCATTAGGTAAAAAAATCTTAGTTTCTTAAAAAGAGAGAGATTTCTGGAAATTCAGATTTTTTTGTGGCTTAAAGTTGTGTTATGTTTTTGTTTAGTTGTGGAGGATGGATCAAATTGGAGCATGGGACAGAGACAGTTGTTCTGTTTAGGCAGAGCAGTTTTGAGAAGAAGCAGAGTATTAGTACTCGACGAAGCAACCGCATCGATAGATAATGCAACAGATTTGATACTTCAGAAAACAATCCGGCGTGAATTTGCAGATTGCACCGTCATAACCGTGGCTCACCGTATCCCTACCGTTATGGATTGTACAATGGTTCTCTCCATCAGCGACGGTGAGTGTTGTTGCAAGCATCATCTTGATCTTTTTTTCTCCTCCGAAATTAGATATTTGATGGGTTTTGGTTACATTTTAGGACGAATTGTGGAGTATGATGAGCCAATGAAGTTGATGAAGGATGAAAACTCTTTGTTCGGAAAGCTTGTGAAAGAGTATTGGTCTCATTACAACTCTGCTGACTCACGTTGCTGATGATAAAACGAAAATGTAACAATATTTTTTAAAAAAAAAAACTGTAATTGTTTGGTAGATACACTTTCGAATTAAATAAAATATATGATAACAGAATATAAAGTGCTAGCTGTACAAAACCTTCAACCAAATTAAACCAAATCCAAGCATTTTTTTCCAGGACGATGTGATCTATGAAAGAAGCTACAAAAACAGCAGTAGTAATAAAAACAAATTCGTATATTCTGTCTACTTCAAGAACACAGAATAGTATATGTTTTTTGGAAAGAGTTGTTTCGCGACTGTTGACTTTTGGGAGCATGAGCTGGCTCTAATTAGGTTTCTATAATCTAAATTTAATAAGTGTACTATACTATATTTGCTTGTAACGTGGACAGCCTGGAGACCTTAATTTAATGATAAATTTTGTTCCAAGTTGGCCAAAACAATGCATAAGAAATGAATCTTTGGGCTGGGTCAATATAATGTTGTATATAAGTTGTAAGTTGGTCTTTGTTTATTATAGAAACATGATGCTATGTTGTTTAATCTATTTTTCACATACATACATTAATGCTAGATCCACAATAATGAAGATACATTTTTTTTTTTTTGGTAGGAACAATAATGAAGATACATGGAGGGGATAAGACAAATTTTTTTTCTTTTCTTTGGTGTAAATGTTAAGGGGATAAGACAAATTTTTAGACAGACAAGACACAATCATCAAAAGTCAAAAACCAAAATAGTAAAAGGAAATGGGTGATGAAGAAGAAGGGCCGAGATGCATTGTTTCTGATCCAGCTCACCCGCACAATGTCTCCCGTCGAGACAATTACAAGGTTAAGCACAACTGCTTTTCGTGCGGGAAAAACGATGTTTCTTGGGAGTTACGTGGAATCACTGAGAATTTCCATTACTACTGCACCATATGCGACATAGAGTTCCACGGGAGATGTCTTCAGATTCCAAGTAAGATGATTCACCCTTATCATCCTCAACATCCACTCACTTTCACCTTTGTAAACTATGAAACCAAGATCATAGTGGACGTCAACTACGGTGACTTCCTTAGTTTTCTATGCCGTTCGGGATTGAACATGCCTGAATACCTCCAAACTATTGGGTCCAAATCCAATATCATATTCGATAAATGCACTTTGTGTGGGAATGATCTCAGCGAATGGTTCTATCGTTGTTCGGTATGCAACTTTTCCTTGGATTTCCGTTGTACCAGAAAATTTCCACCTCTTACAATTCAAAATCCAAGAAGCCATCACCATTCACTCGCCTTGTTCCGTCGACCACTCTCATTTCCATGTGATGCTTGTGGGTTGATCAACTTTTTGGACCCAACTTATGCTTGTTACCAATGTGATTACATGGTTCACAAGAGTTGTGTTGATTTACCACGCGTCATAAAGATCACGCGTCACCCTCATCGACTTTCTCACACTCCTCACCTTCCAACCAAAGTTTCGTTATGCAGGGTTTGCTACAAGCATGTTGACATCAAGTATGGTCAATATTCTTGCAATCACGAGGATTGCTCTTATGTAGTCCATTCAAAATGTGCAACGCATAGAAAAATATGGAACGGGGGAGAACTCGAATGGGCACCGGAAGAACCGGATGAAACTGAAGATATCGCCCCATTCAAAAAAGTAGGTGATGGTTTGATAGAACATTTTTGTCATCATCGTCATTACCTAAAGCTTGAGAAATACGACCGTATACGAGACTCAGCAAAGCAATGTCAGGCATGCATGCGTCCTATCAGCTTCCATGATTTCTACAACTGCATGGAATGTGACTTCTTTCTCCACGAAGTATGCGCCAATCTCCCACGGAAACTAGAGCATGCTTTGCATCATCACCCTCTTTTCATAGACCCGTATCCTCTATACGATCACGACTGCGGTAACTTAGCATGTTCTGTTTGTTTCCGGAAGTCGAGTGGTCTCATGTACAGATGCAGAGAAGACGAATGTGTAGGTTACGAGCAGTTTCAGCTAGATCTTAACTGTGTTTTAGTCCCTGAGTATTTCTGATATAGTATTACACGTGTGGGTTGGCACGTGCGGATTCAAGTGGCAAAATAAGAAGAGTCTGGAATCAACGCGTGGCAGGTGGTGATTGGCAGATCGATCGATGGCCGTTAGAGACTATATGAGCACTGTTTAGCTCATCGTTTTCAATAATAAAAACAATTTGGTGATTTCGTTCGAAATCATTTGGTAAACTTGTATGGCTAAGGTTTCTCTCTTCTCGAGAGCTAGCATTTGGATCGTTGGGTGTTTTATGAACCTCGATCGATTGTTTCGGAGTTACAAATGGTGAATCGGAACTTTGATTCTCTGTTATTGATTGGAATCGTGGTTTGACTGTATCAAAGGTATCAGAGCCTTACGATTCTCGGAATCAATGGAGGAAACAAGAGCTTTGACGAAGATGGAAGAAACTGTCGTTCGTGAAGCGGCGGAGACGTTGGGTTTGCGAATAAAAAAGCTTCATCGGAGAATTTCATGGGAAGAGTTTAACGAGAGATGGTTCAAGGGACTTTGTATGTTCTGCGATGAACCGGAGACTCCGGATCACCATCTGCATCACAAGAATTCAGGAATTTTGATGATAGATTGTGATGACGATCAAATGTCTCATGACAAAGAATTGGTTGAAACTGAGGTTGCCACAGAATCGAGTGAAACTGAGCAAGGAACAGTGAATCATGGGGCAACTGCAGACATGAATTTGGCACTCTTGGAGGAAGAATCGATTCCACAATTTCAGGTACCAATTGCTAATTCTGAGATTTTGAAGAGTGGTGAACTTAGGGAAGTAAAGTTGGAAACACTAGAAGTTGTGGCGATGAACAAGAATCTGGTGCAAGATGGATTTCAAGAGAACGTTAACAAGAGATTTGATGTTGATGGTAATGTTGAGAAGAGTCAAAAATTTGTAAGTATCACAACAAATTACTCTGCACACCAGGTGTTCGGTAAAATGTCTCAATATAAAGAAAAGCTGGGAACAAAGAAGAAAACAAAAGGGTTTAAATCTTGGATGTTCAAATACAAATCTGCTAAAGGAAACATAAGGAAACGAGACAATCAAGGATGGCAAAATTTGAGAAAGAAAATGCTTTCAAAGACTTGGTGGTTTAAGCTCCAAAAACATGTTATGAAAGAAGATGTCCAGCAGATCCTATTGGCTTCTCTACATATGAGTGCTATTGAAACAGGATATGCTATAGGCGAATATGGTGAGATGTTCACATTGGCGAGGGCTATTAGCATGAGAAGTATGCTTGGTTTAATGTTTGAGATAAAAGTGAGTGATGGACGTCATGGTCAACAAGCTGTGTATGAACTGATTGTAATGGTGTATGAGCTGTTGTTGCAAACCAGTTTGGTTATTCAGCAGGTGATGAGAAACATAAAGATCAAGTTTTCCAAGCGGTGGTGGTTCAAGTACAAATCTGTGAAAGAAGGTATGAAGAGACTACACATTGAGTTGAGTTATAAGTGCAAGTTGGAATTTGAAGATTGGTTTAAAATTTGGAACAGCAGAGATTGGCTTAAGTACAAGACTATGCCACTTCAAGTAATTTTAAATATGTTGTTTGTGAGGATCAGACATGAATCACAGAAGATTTTAAGCATAGTGAAGCTGCTGTTCCAAAACAGTTTGGTGCATCACCAACAAACGGTGAATGCAGATGATGAAAAGCATATAATGGTGTGTGTTGACAAGAGTGATGGTCAGTTGTTGTGGATGGCGTTCGTCAGAAAACCTGCAATAAGGGCTGTCCAGAGGATTTGGGAAAAAGAGACTCATGATGTTGATATTATTGATGCAAATTCTGTTCTACAAGAGGAGTTTGAGCAAGTCGTGAACCACACTCCATTTTCTGTGGTCAAGTTAGGAAGACTTAAGGATCCTGATGCGCTGCGATTACTTTTACATGGTGATGAGAGTTTCCAAATCAAGCACAAATGGCGATTTAAACTCTTGCCAGTGATCTTAGAGTGGGAGTTATATTCAGACCGTCTTGTGCTCGTCACTAACTATGCGCAACAACTTGACATCTCAAGACTGATGATTCTTATGAGTGTGGGATGGTTTACAAATCTGAGAAACCAACTGCTCTTTACAGCCTTGAATGGAGTATACATTAGATGTTTTATGCAAATCATATAGCTTTCTTCTCTACAAACCTTGAGGTCAAGGTTTCTTCAAAGGAGGGAGATTTGATATAGGAAAAGGGAGTGATATTATCATAAAGACACGTGTCGGTGGATGAGTGGAAACAAGAGCTGTGAGACGTGGCAAGAGTGGATTGGTTAGTGGATGTTTGGCTAGAGGAAGAATCGAGAAGCGGAGATATATAGAAGACTGAAGATCATTGTAAACATTAATCGAAAATCATTTGTAAAACTTGGAGATTCTGAAACTTGTATTGCTAGGTTTCTCTCATCTTGAGAGCTAGCGTTTGATCGTTTGGGTGTTTTATGAACATCGAAATGATTCTTTGGGTTACGGATTGTTAATCGGAGATTTGAATTCATTATCGGAGAAATTGTGAAGTTTACTTTATCAATTTCACACATAAAAGTCATGCAGAACATCCTGTATTCATCTCTCCATCCTATAGTGAAGAGACCGAAGTTCCATGCCAGGGTTGCAAGAAGAGGTTTTATAATTATCATCTACAATGTAGTTTATGCGAATTCGTTTTATGTTACGAATGCGCCACGATTCCAAATGAGATACACTACAAATTCGATGAGCATCCTCTCTCTCTTTCTTATGGAGAAAGTGGCGTGGATGTCATGTACTGGTGCGAAGTATGCGAGAAAAGATTAGATCCAACGGAATGGTTGTACATAAACAAAGAACGTTGCACCACAATCCACCATAAATGTTTATTTGGAGATTCTGGTTATATGAAGCCTGGTCACATATTCGATTACTGCGATAATAAGGTGGAAGTTGTTGGCAATGGTAGTAGCTCTCGTCCCGTATGTCTTACATGTCACTACCATTGCCCACATCACGTATGCTTCAAAGTGTGTATGCTTGATGGGACTGAAATTTATTTTTGCTCTTTTTCTTGTATAAGATTATGAACTTTTCTATCTGTAATATTATTGGTCAGTTTTCTCTTATTGTGGCTACGAGAGATGTTGAATTTGAAGCTGAGAAGTTCTGTTTGTTTTTCATTTGTGTATTCAGATCGCACATATTGAAGACTAGAGTTCTTTTGAATTCGATATATTTCTTATTTCTCTAATTTTGGGTGGGACTGTTCTTACTTGAAATATGTCACACAACTTGATTATATATACAGGTCTCAATCAAGAGAGAGGGTGACAAATGAATTCAATTCTTAGTACAACAACAAATCAGCTATGGCTAATGTTTCACATCCTAAAAGCCAAGACATAGAAGAACCCAGAATTACAAATATCAAGAGAGACAAAAGGCTTCTCAACCATAAAAATATTGGCCCCTTTGCATCATTAGTTACTTGGCGGATGTTAGAAATAACTGGAACAGCTCTTTTGATCTTCTTTTACCGGATTTGTTTTGTTTCTCCACAGCACGGAGAAACTCATTCGTCATCGATTAGTAGAGCATTTGAGGGTGTGAAGTTACTTAGCTGAGTTTTTCACTGGGTCTGCGACATATTTCCTATACATGAGTCTTTTCAGGTTTTGTAGTGTGGTTTTCTGAGTCACCAGGCCGTTTGCTTGTGTCAGCTGATTCCTCAGTGGTCTCGACAATCTCCATACTCGCTGTTCTACTCCTTCTATTCCTCCGCTCCTGCGGAAAAAAAGATACTAGTTTGTTGACATATGTACAACACACATAACAATTCCTGTAGAATTCGACCATCATTTGTTATAGTATATGATAAAGTGTTCAATATATCCAGAGAATTCATATATATTTACCTCACGAAAAGGGTGTTCATCGGATTCAAGCATCCGCACAACCTGGCTCATTTTAGGCCGTTTCTGTGCTTCAGGATCCACACATTTCAGGGCAACAAGAAGTGCACGTTTCAGAGCACGTGTAGCGGGTGGAGGCTCAATCCTTGAATCAACAACTTCTTCAGCTCTTCTTGTTCCAACCATCATCTTTAGCCATTCAACCAGATTCACCTGCCAACAAGAACACATGTTTTAACACCAAATTAACAGATTCATAACTCCTGGATACATTGACAAAGCAGACATATTTAGGCTACCTCATTAGTTGGACGCTCATAGTCAACTGGATCTCTTCCAGTTATAGTCTCTAGCAGCAGGACACCAAAGCTATAAATGTCACTCTTCTCATTCAATAGACCTGTATTAGCATATTCGGGTGCGACATACCTAATGCATATACAAATGACCGTTAATACGATGTATACGAAAACCCATCATCACCAAAGAGGGTACAAATTTTAGACTTACCCAAAGGTGCCCATGACTCTGGTCGTGATGTGACTCTCACCCGAGTCTAAGAGCTTGGCTAACCCAAAATCGGAAAGCTTTGCATTGAAGTCGTCATCAATCAGGATATTGCTTGCTTTTATGTCTCTGTGGACTACTTTTGGTTCTATTGCTTCATGCAAATAAGCAAGCCTGTAAAATTGTAGTGCAGAGCATGTCATTATCCCCTTAAAGAGTTGTTTTTGAAATTTCAAGTAAAAGGTCTAACCACAGTCGACATATTAAACAACTTACGCTTGCGCAGTACCGACAAGGATCTTCATGCGAGCCTCCCAAGTGAGAGTGCTATGTTTCCCCATGGTTCCATGTAGCCATTGTTCTAAGTTACCACTATTCACATACTCATAAACAAGCATCCTGCATTACATCCAAACAGAAATTGATTCATGGGACTAGTTTCTAATCGGTAGTACAATAGGAGATTACTGATGAGACTAGCACATTCAGACTGATAAGAGGCAAGTGAGACTCACCTATTAACACCCTCTATGCAATATCCTAGAAGCCTTACAAGATTCTTGTGCCGTACATGACCAATAGCTTCAACTTCAACCCGGAATTCCTTCTCAGCCTGTCCCCTAGAGACAAAATTGTGTTAGGATTACTAATCAAGTAAAAAAGAAAACAAGCACAGGGTTTACCAACATTTGATAAATCCCAAACAAAAACTTACAGATTGTTAAGAAGCTTCTTTACAGCAACATCGTTACCGTTGATGAGTCTACCCTTATAAACTACTCCATAACCACCCTCGCCGATTACATTTTCGGCAGCAAAACGGTTGGTGGCTAGCTGAAGATCCCTAAGAGTAAACCAGTGTCCCCAGCCAAGATGAGATATTTCTGGCAAACCAACCAAAGGAGATGCTGTTACAAGTCCGCCCTGCGATAGGGAAGCTTGCCTCCAAGCGGTTCCAAAGCTTCCATCTTCACCAGAGTGAGAACTACAAGCTCTCTCATGATGATGCACAGAGCTACATTGACTTATACTATCATTATCACTAGACTTCGTTCTTCCCAAGAAAGACATCATCTTTCCCGAGTTTCTGTCACTAGATTTATCAGCATTGGTGATACATAAATTCTCATTGTGATCTTGAAACCCAACTCTATCATCAACCCTGATATCTTTCGCCACACGTGGTATTTGACTGAAGGGTAACAGCTTGTGAGATGATCTCCGGGATTTACGGCGGAATGCAATCCATAGAGATAATATGCAGAGAACCAAAACTACAAATGTGCCAACTACTAAACAAATCAAAACCCACAGTTTCATACCCTTCAAACCTAAAAATGAGACCTTCTTCGACATGTCAGCACTCAAAGAACTCTCAGATGACATCTTTGGTTCCTTTTGCTCACAACTTCACAAACCCCACCTAGTAAACAAGAAAACGTAAAATTATTAACACCCCAAGAAGACCTAAGACATCTCTGACTTTCACAAATCTTAAAAGCAAAACAGGGATTGTGGGACAAATGGAAGAATCTCTAAAACTGGTAGGTAAAGCTGCCGACTCAGAAGTTTGAAAAACAAGTTCGACCAAAAATGCTGACACATAGAGAAACAGGATTCAAAAGAGCACGCGCAATTTCAGCAATTAATTGCGGCATTTCAACAAACAAGTTACGTGCATTAACTTGCCAACATTTGTCACCAAAACAAAAACTGAGGAAACCCGGCTCTTGAACTATTGGAAAGGAATCACTTACGATTGAAGCAAGAGACATTACACAGAAGAATCACATAATGCTACCGAAAGTAGAATTCTTGAAACAAAAAAAGTAGTTTTTTTAGTTCCATGAATTTACCTTAGAATGTGACTTAAGCTCTTGCCTTTTCGATTAATCTTCTGCTTAGAAGAGAAGAAAGCAAAGAGAAAGGTCCCCCTTTTCTTTGATTTTGAAGCAAACCAAAGAGAAAGTGAAATAAAGAAGAGAACGCAATTAGCATAGATATGCTTAGCGATGAATTGCAATTGAAGTTTCTCTCGACGAGCCCACCCAGAAAATTTAGGTAATTCCACAAGGAATCAGAAGAAAGATAGAAACTTTACTCAACTATATTGAAATAATGTATGTAAGGAAGGATTAAAGAGAGAGAGAGAGAGAGAGAGAGAGAGAGAGAGAGAGAGTTAGGGTTTGTGGGATTAGGAATTAGTGAGGAGTTAAAAGAGGGAAAAAAGTTGGGTGAGATTGTTGGTGAGAGTGTGTTCTAAAGCTGGAAAGAAAGCTTTGATTTGCAATTTGAGGAAACAAAATCAACAAAAAAGAAATACAGAAAGAGAGAGAGCAGTGAAGGGAAAGCAAAGATGGTGAACTTTGACAACTGTGGCGTTTATAGCTGGATCATGATTAATTAATAATATATAAGTTTTTTTTTTATTTCTTTTTTTGGACAACTAAAATTTATTTAATTTTTTTTTTTAAAAGTAAGAAGGTAGAAAATAAATTAAAATAGAGAAAAAAACGAAGTGGATAAAAGATGTACAAAAGAGGAAATTCTCAGATTCAGGCTTTGGATATTTAGGTCCTCCGTATCTTCTTACAATATGCTGAAGTAGAATGACTTCTTGTGTTTGACTTCAAGATTGAAACTAAATTGATTTTTTTTCTTACAAACTTACTTTATTGGAGTCTAATACGTTTTTATATTGTAATAAAGATATTGAGCCTGATTAGTAACAACTGTAGCTTTACATTTTTTGCTTTAGAAATATGATTGTAGGTTTATTTGCTGTGACTGTAGATTTTATTGATGTAGAATTTTGGCTGTAGAATTTAAAATTTTGGAAAGTTAAAAATTATGTGCTTTAGGAAAAAAGGTTTTCTACAGCCAAAAAAGTGAATTAAGGAAATATTTTGGCTGTGAGAAAAAAAATGAAAGTCAAAGCTTCTAAAGCTTGATTGGATGTATTTCAAATCTTTAGAAATTTTTTTGCTTTATAAAAACTGTAAAACACTTGCCAATCAGGCCCATTTTCTAGATTTTCTGTACTTGAGAGTTGAGACCCCAGTAAAAAAAAAAAAAAAAACAAGTGAACTCTAGGAGTACCACATTCTCTGCTTTATGATTTTTTTTTTCTCTAGAATTCCTTCTGATGTATCCTCCTCCATTTTTTTTTTTTGGCTATGTATAGCATTATTAATATTTTGTTTTTATCTCTTTGATACAATACAATATTTGTCACATGCAAGAAAATGCCAAAGAATAATGAAATTGAAGTTTCATCATATAATGCCTCGGACATTTAATTGGTGTATCTAGCAATAACTAGACGATGTCCTAATATTATAATCATCCAAAAATAACAAGTCAAAAAGAATCATGGAGTTTCCATGATGTGCATTCAAGAATTTAGGATCAATTCAATATTTTTTCTTCATCGACTTTTGTAATATTAATCAAAAACCAAAAGAAATCAATTGAGCTATTATTATTAAAGACCATATGTCAAAATCATTGTGATAACTACAACACATGAGTGTGATGAGAGTGTGAGGTGTCCAAGTCCAACGAAACTAATATCCCTATTAACTTATTATAGACAGCTAGCTATTGAACTACTTACTATAAACGACACCGTTCTAGAGAGAAAAAGGTTGTTGCTTAAGACCCAAGACACCAGGAAACAGAGTATTTGTGGTTTTACACGTGCGAAGAAGCTGCTTTGTCTTTCCGACCAGCGAGAATCATAGAGATTTGAAGGCCTCTGCTAAACGCTTGATTGAAAAGCAGACGAGCTTGAAACTCGGAGACAATGGGAAACCAAGACAGAACAGCGATTGGTGCAAAGATTACAAGTCCCATTATCTTCTCATAGGCTCTTCCTAGCTCCTTCACCGAGTCCCAAATCCCTAAAGCTTTGATCGGTGACCTCAGTACTTGCCCAATCTGAGAAAAAAAAATCCAATAGTTTTTCTAAGAACATGATGCAAGTTCCGATATTATGATTCTGAGGAGGGTTTTGATGGCTATTTACCAGAAGAATCGCCCACCCGGTTGGAAGAAAAGCAAGAATTGAAGCAGATAGGTCGGTGAGTGTGAGTTTGAACACAACAAATAACACAGTCATGATTGACAAAAAGCCGAGGAAGAGAAGTGCTTTAAGAATCCTGAACATTAGCTGAAAATCTGTTCCAAATCTCCGTCTGCCCATTGATACCATCTGACACTCAGAAAAGATTAAACTCAAGTTAGTCCCAAGCTTATATAAGCATTGATTCATGACTATTTATAAGTGTGTGTAAAGGATGAAGTATTTGTGAAACCTTTAGAACAAGTAATGATGTGAGCAAGACCACCCAAGAGAGTCCATAAACCTACAAAGAGGAAGTAAAAAAAGAGATTGAGACTATAGGATCATAGACCAGAAATCTGACATATAAACTCTGAAAGATAAAGTGATGGAACTTATTTTTTACCAAAAAGCTCTTGCTGCGCTGAGAGATATTGAGCTGGTAAACAATTCCATACTGATAAATGAAAAAGCGGAGAGCAAGTGTGATTTCCAGAATCCTTCCTCTAATACTTGTATGTTTGAGGTGTTCTTGCTCTACGTTCCACCACGATTCCCAGCTTTTTTCAACCGGGATGCCTATGCCACCCCGATCTCCGAGCCATCGTTTCCAATCAGTCCAATCATCAACAGTCTTTTGCCACTCAAAACCCGAGGGATTGAATATAAATGGTGCGAACAACCAAGAACCAACCATAAACCACATCGAGACTGTGATATACAGATAAAGGCTTGAACTCCGAAATGAATTCCCATAGATTTGATAAACAACTAGCAATAAAAGCAGCTCTAGTCCCTTCACAAAGTGACTTCTCGAATACAACCTGTAGTTCTCCGCAAACTTGGCATGGAAAACAACAAACCCACGGCCCGTCGGTCTATATTTTGAACCACCATGTAAAATTGTTCTCCCGTAATAATGTGACTTTGTCCCAAGCTGGAATGTAAAGAATACGGAGGCTAGCTGCAGCTGCATTATAAAAAAATCGACAATAGCAGAGCGAAAACCGTGTTCCAAGCCAATCTCCATTACCATCGGTAACACCATCAAGAAACCAAGCTGAAATATTGACTGTGTAGCCAGAGCCTGCTCAAGAGCCTCAAGCTGATTCGGACTTGCCAGTCGCAAAATCTCTTTCTCCAATCCGCTCATAACCATGTACATCCGTCCATACAGGAATGCATATACAGTAAGAACGGTGAGCTGAAAAAAGCACAAGTCAGAAAATCTAAATTTTCTTTAAGATCAACTAAAATAAAAGCAAAGTTGAGATATAAATTTTTGAGCATACCATGCTACTAAAATAGAATCCAATAGTCGTAAAATAGAATGAGAGCATCCTGTAAAAGTCAAACCGATGCCCCAAACGGTAAACATCACGGCTTAGCGTTTGCTCCCCGTTTCCATTTGCTACTTTTGCTTCAAAAATGGAGATTGGGTTCAACCCCACGTCCCGTCCCTTTCCAACTTGGATATACTCGTGATGTGTAACATAACCTCCACGGAGAGTTGAATTGAAGCCTATATACATTGAGAAACAAATCAGCAGCTGCTTGGAACAAAACTATCAATTCTCTATCGCTGAATTGTTAACTTTTTTAGAGAACAAACATGCCATTACCTCCAAAAATATCCTCACTCAAATTTATTACTTTTGAGGCCTTGCTCACACCGCCCCTCGTTATGTGAAAGATTCTGTCAAATATGTCAGGATGGCCATAATGAAAACGAACCCTGCGCCCATAGAGAAGAAATGAAGTTAAATAAGTTAATCAAGAAAGAAATTTTGACATAAATCTTAGCTCCACAAGTAATGCTGAAAAGCGTAGAATGCAAAAGGTCTAAGAACCAAAAGCAAGCATGGTTTAGGGAGAAGACCACATATTCTTGATTTAGGGAGAAGACATTGTATCATAAACAAACATTTTACTGAAATTTTTGTTCTCGAATAGCTCTATATTGATCTTTATAACAATTTTAGAAAAACAATTTTCAATAGAACAGTAAATGGAAAAGTTTCAGTCGTTAAGAAATATACCTCAGAGGGTTTGCCAAAATTCTTTGGCCAATTGTCACGAAACTACTCTCCTGATTGGACATGAACCAAGCTAATGACGAAACACTATACCAAGAGAGGGAGAACAGTAAGAATACGCCAAAACATAGTTGCAAGTTATAATACTTCATCATTTAAAATATGTTTGTAAATCGATATCTTGCAAGGTGGGTGTACCTTCCAGTAAATATATGTTCTCGGAGACCCAAAATTGTTGGCTTGCGTCTACCAACACGCTCCTTATTGAATTCCTCCAATACATTTCTTAGTTTGAAAGCTTCTTCAAAGTAATTGTCCTGCACAGAGACTAACCATGAGGATGCGACATTCAATCTATGGTTCTGACCGACTTATGAGAATGAAGAAGAATACATACTTGATTCATATCTATAGTTTGTAGTGCTTCACCACGTGTAAATATGATAGCATGATTTTGATTTTCAGGCTTTCCTTCACCAATCTCAGCTGGAGGACCAGGAAGCTTTATGCGGTAAATTTCCTAGTAATGGAAGACCATTCACGTTAAGAAGAACAACATGCATGCATAGAAATCTAATCAGCATAATGGAAAACAGCATATACAAAAGAGTAACTGATTAAAAAGAAAACGCAGAAGCAAAATTATAAGGTTGCTCGGGAAATCCTTGTACCTCATCAAACTTGTCACCTCCCTTTAGAAGTACAGAGTAAAAGACCTTAGGAGATTTTGCATCTGCTGTCTCCTCCCTCTCGTCTACATAAGCAACCCGCAATGATGGATATCTAAAAAAAATGACAAGGTTAGGCAAATAGATCATGATATTTCATCAAAGACTATTCAAATTTAACATACTTCAGCATGAGCTGCAGAATATTCGTGTAGCAACTACGGTTGTGAATATCACTGGACTTTTTCTGATTTCCGTAGACCTGACAAGAAACAACGTAAGTGAACTTCAGATCTGCAAGAGCTTTGGCACGTTCCAGGAAAGCTTTCTGATTATCATCATTGGAGGCCATGGCCCGGGAGACACTAAATTCGGCTGCAAGAAGTAGCAAAGTAGTAAATAAAGGATCTTAGATTTTGGTTCCAAAAACTTTGATAGAAGCATTTGAAGTTACTGACAACTGGCTCAGAAAATACAAACCTTGTTCCCCTGCAACTTCCTGGTAGCATTGAAGCTCCAATGCCTGCCTATAGTACATCATACCCCTAACTGGCAGAAGTAATCAGAGAGACACAGATGAATATGCATATAGACAAGATAATA